ACCCCCCCCCCCCCCCCCCCCATCTCTCTACCGTGCAGCTATTTTCCTATTCCTGGATCCATTACTTGAGCGGAGTCTGAACTAATATTCCCTCTCCTCCCCACGTTTCCAAAACTGAAAAAAATGATTCAGCGTTCCTTCCACTATCCGCAGCGCCCACCCGAATGCTACACACGCTCCCGTCTTCCCCGAGTTGCAAGCGCCTCCCCGAAGCAAACGCCACGCATGCTGGCTGCACGCTTCCAAGCGGATCCTCCCGGGCTTTTGTCATACATATGCAGAAGAAGAGGAAGAAACGGCTTGGTAGCGGCTGAACCGGTGTAAAGCGCTTGAACCGGTATGTACGCTTTGAGGCACATGTGCTGGAGATGATAGAAGGTTCGAGTACAGTGTTAATCTAGGGCTTTGGGGGTGAGCTTGGAATCGATCAGTATGGTTTTTGTGGATCGAGACTGCTGGTACCAGACTTGATGAAAGGGGGTGATGTGTTGGTTAGCTCAGAGTATGATTGTTTGTGGACTTGCTCACGGAAGATATCACCAAGATGTGGATGATAGACTAATTCTTCTCTGAAGAAGTATTGTTCTGTCAAAGTAGCTCCACAACAGCGCTACATATCAACATTCAAAAGCAAGCCGGAAGCTGTAAGCACAACTCACACAGTAGGCAATTTGATCCGAGCCCTTGTTTCATTGCAAGTACTTTACTATGTAGTCATGCTAAATGTGTACCACACTTATCCCCCATCATCTTCCTCGACCGCCTCCGTCCTTATGACCCGAGTCCCCTCCCTCCAACCCCAATCCACCACAAAGCCACTCCTCCCAACCCAGCCTCCCATCCTCTGTATTTCCCAAATCGGCATGCCTCCACTCAAAACTGCTCTCGTTCCACAGCATACGCGTCACACAGGCGCATGCGGGCTATAGTACCCGCTACCGTTCTGCTGTGTAATCAAAGCTGCTTGAGCGGCACGACGATGCCTCTGTTGAATGGGGAATGGAAGGTGTAACTGTCCAAACGGGGGTCCTTACGGCAAGGAAAACGGTGTGGGATGCGGAGGGTCAACTGGTTCCCCGAAGGTATCATAAGGGATTTGGGGGTTGGAGGGAAAGGTTGGAGTGATGGGAGTGATGGGGGAGCGTTTTCAATATTTGGGAATGGAGTTTGGGATGGTGTGAGGCGCCGTGTGCTGTGACAGAGTTATGTGTCAAGGGTGACTTATTTGCTGAGATTCCTCGACGATCATCTTAACATACGCATTGAAATTTATGTGGTTTGTAGTTCTACGTTATGTACGGCATGTAGGTGTGGGGTAGGCTTAGCGCATGAGCTTGGGATTGATAAAGCGTACCCAAAGCGGCAGTCGATACATCAAGCATGCATATTTGGGTGTGGGTAATGTTTTGCAGATATCAAGTTCGTATGAAGATTGTATCACCGAATGCTGCGTACTCGAGGATCTGGAGCGTGCTACATGGGATAGAGCGGGGTTGATGAATTAGAACGTGGTTACGTCTGAGGGGATGCAGATGGATTGTTGGAAGTTTGCATGTGAAGATGCATTGGAGCATTCTATTTATCTTCCATTAGCGTCAGCACACAGATTTTGGTCTTTGCGCTTTCAGTTAGCTAACATGTCCCCCATCAACATGTGATAGTACTTCAGTGCAAACGTATACTTCCAGGTACTCGGTTTATCTGCATGAACTAGGGTGATATTGAGATATGCACTCAAAGGCCTTTTGAATTGAATTCTCACTACATCCTGGTAGAGACTAATGCAGAAATATCCATTGCGTGTTTGTGGTGTGCGTGAAGAGCTGCGATGCATCAGGGACCCCCACAGCGTGTTGCGTAGGACCAACGCACGGCGCACTCTTGGCCTGTCACTACACATCCCCAGAATATGTTTAGTATAGCTTCAAATCAAAGAAACAGCAAGCCGCCCAGTGGGAAATGTTTGTAGCAAATTTCATCATGCCTGTGCTCGAATGTGCGTAACACTGTTAGCAACAGGGATAAGGGTGTGGCTGCAGTTCAGAGACTTTTGTCATCTACAAGATAGAAAAAATAAGCAATCATTTTTGAGAAATTTCCAGAAGAACTGAGGGAAATTGCTTGGGATGGATCAAAATATGAAGGTTTGTAGTGATGCAACCAAGATTTGCCACTTAGACACGCCACAAGATGACGAATACAGCAATTGCCATATTGCCAAGAAGAATCTTACTCCACATTTACTGCGCAGCTGTCGCCAGAATGTGCCACGTTCCGTGGTTGTGGAACGATTTCTTGTCGCCTGGTCGCCGTTTTCGTTCGTCATGGGCCACGAGCTATCTTTGTGCAATCATGCATCTAGAAGGGCCGTGCTTCTCAGATAGTGTACAGCTAGAGGACACAACGGCCCATATCTAACTATGGCTTCAGGAATTTTTATCGTTATCTTAAGCTAAAGGTTAATGGTATCTTAGGAAGGCTTAATAGGTGTACGAATTAATAAAATTGAACAGCGGGCCAGTGTGTCCGCGCTGTGAACCCCAACGATCTAACGGAATGAGAAAGACATCAGACAAGCAATCTGCTATTTTCACGATGTCTGTCAGTGATTAAACTAAGGGGCTTGCAACCTGGCCCCACTGCTGCAGTTCCCTGCTGCTCAATTTAGACTCTATTTCTTGGTTCACACAGCCAAAGAAGGGAAAGTCGGATACAGTACCCGGCGAGTGCATTGATACATACCGTTACATATAAAGAGTTGCGAATCGTGCCAGAAGTATGGTGCTCACGTTTCCCCGCATTCTCCGCATCTTGCTCAGACTCGGTACTCTAACTGCCTGTCACGAATACGGCAAGACCACGTGCCTCCATCATCTTTGTACTTGCTGTACCACAGGAGCGTCTTGCAGGTAAGTAGCTTCAGCTCATCGCCTTATAGCAGCTAATCAGAGGGATAGCTCTCGTCCCCTGTTCTAAGCTCCGATTGTCAATCAACACAACAACATGTGCTCTTACAACAAAATCACCTTTTTCTGCCAACACTTCGAGTACCGAGTCGCGAAGCATTGCCATTTTGCGAGAAATGACCCCGGTCACCAATGCTTTGGCGCGTGGACCATCAAACGTGAATGGGATGAGCCTCAAGAACTTTGCAAAGACTGCGCAAAGCAGCAAATATATTCTCCCAGTGCCATGTGACGCTCAGTCGACATATGGCGTTGGCGGCAGAAAGTGAAATCCTGGTGTATGATGGTGGTGTATCTTCTGAGAGGGTTTATGGAGATTCTGTAACAGACTTTAATGTTTCTTCATCCGGTTGGATGATATGAGTAGCGTTTCCTAGCGAGGTGATCTGGGCGCATAACCGTGGCTTTCGCTGAATGACTAGATTGGTATTTTGGGGGTTGGGATTGACTGTATACGATCTATTTTTGCATGTACATACGATTCAGTATCAGGTAAACGCACGTCTATCGCTTTGTCCGGCGTAAAAAATAGATTTGAATTACGAACGATAAAGCAACTTTGCCAGACAGAATAGCTGACGAGGTATTTCTCAGGAATCAGTCTGAAAACCAGTCTTGCAATTGCAACAACAAATAGGAAGCCGAGCAGAAAATGGTGCAATGAAGTCCGCGACAGCACTAGCTCAGAACGGTTTGGCGTATCACCCCACTTCACACGCCTCGGCCAGCATCGCGGCTTGGCGGTCCCTGGGTCATTTCCTCGCTATTACCACACCTACACTGGCCTTTTGAATCACCCCACCATGTCCGACGCCGTCGAACCCAAGAAGGAGAAGTTCGCTCCAAAGGAGCCTGTTACGCTGAACCCACCCAAAGATGACATCATCGAGCGGGATTATCTGGCAAAGTGCGATGGTAGGCTTCTCTCTGAATGACTTCCATCTACCTTTTTGTTTCGGAAATACCGGAATAACTAACGATAAGTCTAGGTACGAATGAAGGATACCCGACATTAGTTGCAATCAAGGTAATTATTTGAACCCCTCATCGAGATGCTATCCAGAAGCACGTTCAGCGGAACTAACGGTGATCTAGGGCGATGTCTTTGATGTCAGCGGCAAGGAAACGTATGCCCCGGGAAAAGGCTACCATGGTTTGTTCGCCCAAAAGCCTTCTCAGTGACGACATGCAGCTAATACACCATCCCAGTTTTTGCGGGCAAGGAGCCTAACCGCGCTCTTGGCCTGTCTTCTCTCAAGCCAGAGGATTGTGTATCGGATTACTCTGGGTTGTCTGAGAAAGAGCAGGGCGTTTTGAATGACTGGCACACGTTTTTCAGCAAGCGGTACAATATTGTAGGACGACTACAGGCGGAAAGCTCGAATCTGTAGAAAAGGTTCGTTTTCTCAATATCGTTTCGCGCATGTCACATTGTAGGAAAGGTCATCTATCTATACTTTGGATATCTCCGAATGACAAAGACTTGTTCACGGGATCTCTAGCTTCGAAGCTTAGACTCTTGACATGCATATTTGTATTTGATTATAATTCAACAGCGACTATTCTTCCGTTATCCTTGGCAAAATGACTACTAGACGACCTGATATCCGATATTATACCACTCAAACTTTTACACAACTCCCATATAAACCATCGTGCTCCTGTCTTTCAAGCTGGCGCTTTCACCATCAATCCAATGAGGGATTGCACGACTTCTGCAGCTGCTAATACTGTTGTCTCGCCAGCGTTATCGTATACAGGGGCAACTTCAACTATAAGACCAGTGTGGTTAGAATTTAGTCGGTCTGAACAGGGGGGATCGTGAATACAACAAGATACATACCAACATCAGCGCCGACTACATCCAATCCTTCAAGACCATCCAGGATAGAGAGTAACTCGCGTGTGCTCCAGCCACCAACCTCGGCAGTTCCTGTGGCTGTAGTTTACGTCAGTCACACCGTTCAACGTTAAGTTGCTGGTCACGATCCATTCTCACATTGTAACAATGCAAGTATCGCGCCGCGTAGTGATGTCAGGTCAGAACTCACCAGGAGCAAAAGCTGGGTCCAGCACATCTATATCAACGCTGATATACACCTTGCTATCCCCCACTCGCGCCTTTAACTTGTCGATAATTCCTGATACGCCAATGCGATCAATGTCCCGGGCCTTGATCATCTCAAAACCACAGCGAATATCATTCCGCACATCGCCTTTTGGTCGTAAAATTGCTCCTCGGATGCCAGCGTGAATCGATGTATTCCGGATTAAGCCTTCTTCGTGTGCGATGTGCAGAAACGTTCCGTGGTTGACGCCACTATAATATTCATTTTTAGTGAGTTGTGCACGGAACAAAGGTGGCAACTAGACTTACGCGTAGTGGGATATGCCTCCACCTGTCATACATTAGCAAGTAGTCGTACACAAGGAAAAATTGAACTTACCCAACACCTTTGGATCCCAAGTGTCTGTTAAACAGTCAGCGGAAACCAGCTACAAAGGCTGGTCTGGCGTACCTAAATGGCTGTCGAAATGTATCACACTGACTTGACCCCAGTGGTGATGGGCTGATCGTAGTGCAGGTAGTGTGGTAGTATGATCGCCTCCTAGAGTGATAATCTTCGGTGTACGACCATGCTCGCTTGAGTTGGTGTCTCTGGAAGAGATGATCTTGAAGCCTACAGTCAGTCAAAGTCTCCACTAGAATTAGAGTTGAGCTACGAACCTTGTGAGATCTGTCAAGCTGATTCAGGGCTACTGTGTTGTCCTGTTATATTTTTGAGTCAATCTTGCTTTTGGTGTTGTATACGGGTAGCATTACCAAGAAAGTCAATGGTGCGTCACCGCAGTCGACTATTTTGGCCCAGTCGAAGAACACATTTTCTCCTATCTTAAGTTAATCTTGGGTGATTTTGAGACTGCATATGGTTTTAAAAAGAATTATGAAGGGAAAGTAAGGCGATGCCGAGATGGCAGTTCTCAACAGCAAAATGGTACACAAGTACTGCTGATTCGGGCATGATCCTTCGCAATTGTTACTCGCAGTGGCGTCGTTACGTCCGCCACTTTCACACGTAATAGCTTTTGCACCCAATTTCCATGCTCGAGGAAATGACCGTGGCACCCAAAAGTTTTCACGGCATCTCCACTTACCAGTATAAACGCTCCACAAGGGACCTATTCGACGTGATCCAGCGCGGATACCGCTCGGGCCAAAGCGCGCTCCAGGACGAGCGGTTACAGCCTACCAGCCATCAATATCCGTCTCATTCAAACCTTTACCATATATAATCTCTTCGTTGTTTACGGTACGTGACTTACAGTGTCGAATGGCGCACCAAGGATAGCAATGTCAAACGGCTCAACATCGTCTCCTTCAGGCGCGAGACAATGTATATATGGCAGGTTAGCATATGTCGTTAGCCCTGCAAACTTGGCTTGAGTAACATCGGCCTCAAATAATCCCTGAGGAATAACCTGCTGAGATGCGTATCCCGAGACGGGTGGAAAAGTGATTTCCCGGGTGTACGCTATGGTCAGAAACGGTGCAATGGATAGCAACGATACAAGCGCCATGGTGAAGAGAAGATGCTGTCAGAGGAATTGGTGTGAGGTGGAGAACAGCATGTAGAGCCGTGATGTATCTATGTACCGTGCCTCTATTCTGCTTGTAGCCAATAGCGATAAGGAGCATTCCATTCTCGAACGGGAAGGTACTGCCGACCCGAGTTTCCCCTCACGGTAACGACTGCTAGCCGCGTCTTCCGTTCAAGGGACGGATCATAATCCTTGTAGACATTCTACGATATTCTCGATTGTATGCCACGTCTTCTATCTCTTATCTGTCACAAAATACCCCCAGATCTCATTGGCAGGTGTGATTAGTTACTCGCTTGGTCATAGCCAAGAAAACGGTTGTACCACTACTACGTGATATTGTGTTTTGAACCGAAGTCTTTCAACGGCAAATCATCGCCGTGACTTCACACTCGTACAACAATTTCCCCAACGGCAGACTCGCAACACCAACAACTGTATCCGGGGGCCGGTGCCCATCTGCTTTCTGATCCATAAATTCTATCCATTCCTCGCCCCAGCCCCGCTCCACGACGTCCTTCGCATCTTGCTCCTCGTCACCCGTTTCTTTAACAATGTAGTGTCGGACGAAAATCTAGGGTTGAAAATATGGTCAGCAACATACCGGTAAATTTCCCTTTGTGGTAACTTCATGCTCCTCGAGTTGCGTCAAGGTCTCGGAGGGCGTACAATGTCTCGCGGTGTTGCACCGGCAGCTTCTAAACACTTGTGAATGATTTCATAGGCAGCTTTAGCTTGTGCCTTGATACCAGAAGGCACAGTGTCATCTTTTTGTAGGCCTGTTTGGCCGGCAAGCGTGACCAGGGCGGATGAAACTACTATGGGAGTGACGCAAACTTGAGAGTAGGTAGGTGGTGGCTTTGGCACAGAAGGCGGGTTGAATGCATTGGGCTTTTTGGACGCCATGATGAGGTTGTTGGACCAAGTGATTACATGAATATGTATATTTGTAGATACTCCCTACTACGAGTCCTGTTATGAAGCCATGCCTCGGCATGAGGGGTATACTCGGTTCCACCTGACGTCATCGATCAGTACTAACTTGATAAGTTTATACCTACCTGTTTCGTATTGTTTCTTGGAAAAGAATCGCATGCTACGCTTGCACTTCCTAGTATTAGACATTAATAGTCCAACTACCTCCATGAGACTTTTGCCATTGACTTCAGGTATCGCAACCGTTCCCGGAATACCTCGAGTAAATTCCACTTCATCTGGTCACCTCAAGACAACCCGCATACAATGTCCCTCTACTCACTCAATCTTCACAAATCAATCATTCCAGCTGTGATCGATCTTCTTCCCATCCAACGTCACACCAAAGCCCAAAATGATCACTAAAATGCGCCTTTTCAACCAATCCCGTCCCATCAACATCGATTTTCTCGCCACAGCCTTCCACTTCGCTCGTTTCCAAGATACCCATGGCTGAAGGGGTAAGTTTAAACAGCATAACTTTATCCAAACGGTTGGGCGGGAACGTCTGTTCACCATATACACCCCAAGTATGGCCCGGGTCATTCGGATAAAGATTTTTCCACGCATCAGTAAGATCGTTGGTGCACACAAGGTCGTCATCTTCTGGGAAAACGAGATTGAAGTCGCCGGCGATGACCCCGTGGCCAGCTGCATGAAGGTACGACGCGCAGATGGAAAGCTGAAGTGGTCTGAGTGACGAGTTAATAGGCAGGGGATCCAAGTGGACGTTGATGAATCGAATCTGAAGGGATCTTTTACCAGGAGTGTGCTTGCTTGAATCGTTGAGAAGCATATCACAGCATAAGGCGTCTCGGCCAAAACGACTTGGTAAGGGGATTCTCCAGACAGCGCCGAGCAGAATACCTTCTGTGGCTACCCAAACCTTGGATACTAGGGTGACGCTGATGAACTTCTGGGTTCCAAACGCGGAAGCATCAGCATCACTTGTGTACCAAATCTGCTGGATCCAATGCTCTTCAAGAAGTGCTATAAGAGCATCTTTTGATACTTCTTGTAGGAAAATAAAACTTGCAGCTCCTGTGGTTTTGATAACCTCCAGTAGTGCAGATATACGGGATTTTAGGAACGGTGCATCCATATTTACGTTCCAAGTCACGAAACGGAGTGATCCTGCCCATTGGTGTTTGATACCAGGCTGAGAATTTCTGTCACTAACAAATGGCATCCATCGGTCTTGATCAAAGGTGTGCCACTTTTGGAAGCTAGGGGGTGCTGTACTTGCTGGTAAAGGCGTCTGCTGCCATGATGCGATGTTGGTGCAGATTTGCGATAGCATTGCGAAATTGAGTTTGCGGTATTTTTCAGAGGTTGTAGCATGTAGAAGGGAGGTTGCTTAGTTGTTAATATAGTGGCAGAGTAAAGTGAAGCCATGCTTGTTGTCGCAGAAGTGAAGGCAATAGCGACCTACAACACATTTTCACCAATTGTAAAGAAGTCACTATACTGTACCGTTTTTGCCGATCAAAATTCATTGGTGAAACTGTACATACCACCTATACCGTACCCAAGTACATAGACTATATGGTACATGGATACATCACCGCCCCACCTTTTAGCTGGAACTAATAATGACATCACCACCAATCTTCACGCGACATCACCCCAACATAAACCGATCCACAAACCGATCCACAAACCCAACGAATACCAGAACTTGGTCATACACAAGACACTACATGATTGGATCATAGCACCAACGCAATAAATGCAACCAAAGCCCTTCCATCAGCACCCGGACGAATAAGAAGCACCATGCCGCGCGCCCGTCTCCGTTGCAAATGCGGGGAAACGCTCCATCCAGAACAGTGATATAACCACATGCTCGCGCAACAAATCTCCATGGTAGTGCACTGAAACTGCTCCATGCCCCATCCCCCCCAAAAATGGCGTCCAACTGGTTCAGCACCTCCTCAAAAGAGGCACCTTCAGACCCTCCTGACCTCCGCATCCAAGTCGCCGACCAACGCCCCCACGATTTCTACCTGCAACCCAGCTCCGGGCTAAGTCCCGCGACGAATTCTTCCAACCTACCGAAGATCGCGGTCGATAGAACGCATTCCAAGACACATGTGTATAGTGCTTCGCTCTTCGATGTCGGGATACTGAAAGATACGCTTGTTCCTTCTTTCTCGCTGCATGCGGGTTTGGCGGTTCTGGCGTACGGGGCTGCACGGTACACGGATCGTGTTGAAGCGAAAGACTGGTTGTGGCCTAGTGGACAGGTTGTCAATGCGTGGTGGTCTGCTGTTGGCCGGCGTGTAGCTGCTGGGTACACTGTCTCGCAAGCTTTTAGTCGGTTGTCCTGGCACGAACGGGTTATGCTTACTGGAGTCACGTTATGGGGTGGACGTCTGTTTTACCGCATTGCGAGGCGGTCTATCCAGCGGGGCGAAGACGATCCTCGGTATGTGGAAGTGAAAGAGGAGGACGGATTCTGGAATACTGCGCTCTTCAAGGTTTTTATCCCGGAGGCCTTCTTCCAGATGCTGATCAGTTTGCCGTTTACTGCTCCTTTTCGTCATGAAGGCGCGGTTATGACGGGTTATCATCCTCTTGTCCAGATGCTAGCTGTTGGCTTGTTTTCGTCTGGTTTGGCTCTCGAGAGTATCGCAGACTACCAGCTTGATCAGTACAAGGCCGAGGGCAACAAGGGAATCCTGCGTGAGGGTGTCTGGAGCATTGTCCGTAACCCCAAGTATGTTACTTCTGACGCCCCTATATATCATTCTGAACCCTTCTAACCTTACTCTAGCTACCTAGGTGATGCACTAGTCCACATCTCCTTCATCGTCATGCTGTACGGCTCTGATATGCTCGCACCCATTGAACTCCTGGGCCCCGCCGCAAACTACGCCTTCCTCCGCTTCTTCGGCGGCGATGCGCAAAAGGAGCAACACCAGCAACGCAGATACTCTGCTTCATCTCCTGAGAAGCTTCGTGAGTTGGAAAAGTTCCGCGCGGATAAGAACGCGTTTTGGCCTAGTGTCGATGAGTTGAAGAACAAGTGGCTATGGACTGTACTGGGATTCAGTGGCTTGGGAATTGCTACCGAACAGTTGCTGAGAGCATTCCACTAGGTGCCAATGGTCTTCACTAGCAAGATAGGGAGACGTATATTGTGTACAGGGTACTAATCGCTCTCTTTCTGTTTTCGTATATACATATCAGTTGCATCAGATTCACAATGATCTCCTTAATTTGTTTGCAATTCAATGATACGACTTGGTGGAATTTCTCTAGTGAGTATTCTCCAAACCTGACCTTTTACTATATATAACGTTTGAATACAAATTAGCCGCGTTACGATATCATGTAGTTCTTCTATGGGTGTGCTCTTCATGCAGCCGACAATCAACGCAAACTCAGAAAAAAAATGTATATTACATATGCAGCAGTCATTTTCTCTCCGTTTCTCTGCACCCACGTTATCTAGCACCCAAATCCCATATCCTCAGCGTCTCTCCCTTACCCCCTCGCTTCTTATTACCCTTCTCCTTGCCGCCTTCGGTGAGTTTCAACATGCACTTGGATACACCAGCCAAGCACTCCAATACCTCACTCATCCTGCCAGTTTCTAGCAGACAGCGTTGCAGCCACTCGTTACTCTTGTCGGCTATGACAACGGCAACCTCCATGGCCTTGATAGCGGGGTCCTTGTTCAAGAACCACGATGCAGACTGGAGAACGGAGAGATAGGCAAGAACCATGTCGGGAATGTAAGCCTTGAGGAGATCCCACGTTTGCTCTGTCAAGTAGTGAGGGTCGGCAGCAGAATAAAGAGAGATCGAGGGTAGGAGGGTGTCAAAGATGGTGGAAATGGAGTCTAGAAGAGCCTTCGTATGTTGAGTGTCTGGTTTTGCTTTCGCGCCGGTGGTCTCTTTCTGACGGTCCGCACGGATCCTGAATTGTTTGTTAGCTGGTATGAAATGAGGTACATGAAGAGCGGGGACTGACTGTATGAGTGCTTGCTCCTCCTCGCGCCATTCGCGGAAAAGGACGAGCAGGCGAACGATTTGCTGGAGATTGTAGTATGGCAAGCTGGCCTGGCGCAATTGCATCACCAATTCCCTGTGCTGGTTGGCATCAGGTAATTGTGAAATAGGAATTGCAGCAGCTCGTGCAGCGGCTGAGAGACTATCCCGATGCTCATGGAGTTGACGCTCATCTTGCTCTTCTGCTCCAGAAGCCATCATATCGAAAGGATAACCAGTAAGGGCTTCTGTACGCGACAGCGACAGAGACTCGACGCTGAGATCATCAATGACCTTCTCGGCAGCAGCTAGGCGACCGTTGACTAGATTACATGTTAGCTAAGGAGCGGCATTAAAACTTGTAGACAGTACTTACGAAGGAAGATGGTTAGCGCATTATTGAGGTGCTCAAATGTGTGTTCGTAATCCTTGCCAATGTAGTTGTACCATTGCAAAGCATCAACAATAATCTCGTCTTGCTCGCTAATTTGCTCCCCATCGAATGACCGCTTTATACGCACACCAGGCCACAGGACTTGCTCATGAGGTACGCTGACCGGCTCCAAAATCTTGAAACGCTTGATGGGATTTGTGATGACTGTGATACCTGCACTGTTAAAGTGGGTGAATCCACTATCCCGTGCAGCAAACGTAAAGCTCTGAGACACGACCTGGATAACATCGAGTCGATATGATTCCATAAGCGCAACGCAGTGCCGCTGCTCAGTGCTGTTTTTGATGTCGGGAAGGACGCGTGCTAGGGTATATGCCGCACGCTCTTCGATCAGCTGCGCCGCGTAAAGCGGGATGGCATCGAAACGTTGAGTAAGGCGCAGGAACTCAATGTAGGCAGCGATAACGTTGTCCATAGTTAGGAATTGCTTGTCATGTTGAGTATCCTCAAAGAGTGTATGAAGTCCATTACGGAGGACAATGAAGATGTGCACCAAGATTCGGAAAGCGTGGGGATCTTTTACAAGGTTCTGGTAGTATCGCTCCGCTTCAAAGGTCCGGTATTCTCCCGCTGGCATAGGTGATCGGTCTTCCTCTTGTGAATCTGGGTGTATGATGAGGCTGTGAGGTCGCTTGTCTTGAGCAAACATATCTGCTAAGGCCATGCCAACTTTCAGCATCAGATCGTCAGCATCTCTGCCGATAAGCGCGCCTTGAATGAGCTTGATCGGTGAGACGGCTTGGCTGGCGGTACTCCTCTGCTGCTTTAATATACCAATGACCTTCTCGGGCGAAGCCTCCCAATCTCCAATGTTGGCTACAGCATCCTGGAAAAGGAACTTTTGGGTCAGGCTCTCCGTCACCTTGGTAGGGTAGTTCCTTTGGAGGTACATATCGAACCGGGAAAGAAGGAGGGCGTTGTAATGCGCATAAAGATGGTCGTCCCAAGATCGGCAGACTGCTTGCACTTGCTTCAAGTCTCCACTCAACAGACCGTATACTGCGCCCTCGTAAGGTATCCGTGCCCCCCTCGCAGCGTAGAAACACATGCGGCGGAACAGATAGCCAACAGTTGGCCCGGCAACATTAGGACCACCTTCAGGGTGACTCTCATATGCTGCTCCAATGCTGACTCCGCGCCAGGATTCGTTTCGTTCATAGCACCAGTTGACAATGGTCGTCCACGGCAGTCCACGGCGCATCATCTCGTATGCGACCATCCAAAGGGAACGCTCGTAGTACTCGTCGTTCTTTTCAAGCGCACGCTTCTGCCTAGAGGGAGCGTCTGGGTCGAGCTGAGTAACAAGGTTCGCGGTCTTGTCCGAGGTCTGGATGTTTGTGTTGGTGGGCTTTAATGGCTGTTCGGCACCCTCCATACGCTTCGCCTGCTTGATCTTGGCCTTGGTGTCGAGCCAGCCACTTGTCCATGTATGCGCACCCTTGCCCGAATGCTCCTCGAGTGCTGTAGTAATGGCCTTGACATCACTTTCGCTATCTCGTGCAGTCTGCTCTAACCAGCGAAGAATAAGAGCCTTCTCTTTCGCCTGGTCATCCTCCAGTATGAACCGGTCCCAAATCTCGCTATTCTTGCAGTACCGTGCAGTGCCTCCAGCAGTTTCCAAACGCGCCTTCTTCTCTGCAGCCACATCGGTATCGGGGTCGGGGTGGTAGTGTTCGATGACGAGCTTGAGTAGTTTCCATGTCGCAAGCTCGGCCTGCCATTCTCGAAGCTCCTGGATGTTTGCGGAAACAGGGGCGGTGTTGTTCTCAATCGACGAATTGACGGATTGGGATGACTGAGCGAAGAGGCTCTGGGGCGCATTCTCCGACGCATCTGCCATGCTCTGTATCTGCCGCCGGATAGTTTTGCTCAGACTGCCCTTGTTCTCTGCTTCGGCTGTTCGCTTCAGCTCCTTGACATGAGATTCTGCGACATCCTGGAATTTGCCCACCAACTTGACCGTGGTGTGGTACTTGGCCCTCTTCGAGTCGTTTCCGTGTGTATGCCAGTGGTCGACTCGCTCTGCAAACTTCTCAACTTCTTTGCCCACGCGGTCGGCCATTGCGCGCAGTGGTTGGAGCGGATCGTTTGAGGTGGTGCCATTTGTTGGTCGGGAAGCGCCAAAAAAAAGCGCATTACTATTCGGTGACTGAATCCGGTGTCAGCTGCCATCGAATCTATCTATGTGTGTCGTCGTGGGCGAGGCTGGAAGCTCTTTGATGACTTACCTGTGCTGCAGTCGACTGCGACTGGCGCGAGAAGGGTCGTAACGCCATGTTGGGGGCAAAGGAAGGGGGTGTAAGAGACGGCAGACGACAAGGAGATGGGGCGACTCTAGGCCGGGGTAGTCAGACACTTGTCAATGGGTTAGTGAAGGCCTGGGATGGCCGTGGTTGAGTGTCCTAAGCCCGTCACAAAACAGAAGTCGCGCCCGGACGTGCCTGGCGGGTTAGCGTGTTGCCAAGGATGGCGCGCGCTAATGCAAAAGTACAAAAACCTCGTCGGTGATGCGCTCCGCTGCTCTTCTTTTCTTTACAATGTTTATAACCAATACATGTGCTACTATAGAGTCTCGTCGGAAATTTGTCAGTGTTCTACGACGCGCTCATGCCATGTTAGAGAAACACACTTCCTGGTAAAACCGCCTGGACTTTTTCGGAGGTTTGATGGTGCGGACAAGAAAGAAAGTGTTACATGCCCTTTTTCCACTAACAACTGGTTGTGGTTCTTATTGAGGGAACTAATAATACAAGACCATATCCGGCGGTGATTAAGATTGGGCTCTATGAGATGCCTTTGGCGCGTTGTTGCATTTTGAGCCTGTATTCTGTTAGTCTAGCGGCGACTTGTCGACAGACTTGGCCATACTTTAAAAGCGAGTATTTCGGACAGCTCACGGTGCTTGCATTCACGCCCTGTTTTTCGTAAAAGGCATTGCAGCACTCATACAATGCGTCCACCTAGGGATTGTCAATTGTTTTTCTCCTGGATATCGTATTGTTGCCTCGGGTCATGGGAACCAACCTCTTTTCTGCACTTTTCTTCGTTGTAGTTGTTCCTTTGTATGCAATCTACCACTTAGCTTCACACACGTACAGCATTTCCTGCACGACATACTTTGAATTGCACATGCCCGTGGATGGCACGGAGGGTCTGTCTGCAAATCCTTCTCCATTTCTCCCTATGGGCTTGTCAGTGCGGCTCTCCTACCCAGTTCTTCCACCGTGACATCATAACCATACCATGGTGAATCCGCCCCAAAGTACCGCAAAACTACCACGTCTGATGTACTGAAAGACGACAATTATGAGACAGGAAGCGATTATGTAAAGGACAAAGTCAGGCGGCCGTAGCTTTGCGGATAAGGCAGATGGGCAAGGTGAGGCCGGAGGGCTAGAAACGGCCAAAGCTTGGTGAGCGAGACCCCCACTAATTCCGAAGTGCTCACACCTCAGTCTTGCGCCTTGATCCTTCACAATCGTCTTTTCACGCGTTGCCACCGCTGCTGCAGTCCCATCCGACGCGTTTGCTCGCCCTCACTAGACGCTTCTATCACTCGCCGTGATTTGCAAATCCGCCCGCCAGTATTAAGGTACGACTATCTCCGCACCACACATTGCAGCTTCGTCCCGCGCGGCAAATCGTGCCCTCCTCCTTCACCTCCCGCTCCACCTCCCACTCAACCCGCAACTGACCTCGCACTGAAAGAGCACCCAGTCTACACTTCTTGCTACGCAGCATCACAGTCGCACAACCAACAGCCACCACCCCCACTACCAACATGTCCGAGAACGGTTCCCCCAACAACATGCAGCAGAAGCCCGAGGACGGCGGCCAGAGCGAACACCTGAACATCAAGGTTACGGACAACAACAACGAGGTGTTTTTCAAGATCAAGCGCACCACGGCCCTGGGAAAGCTCATGAACGCCTTCTGCGACCGCCAGGGCAAGAACATTTCCAGCGTCCGATTTCTCTTCGACGGCCAGCGTGTCACTGCCCAGGACAACCCAGACACGGTACGTAGCCAACTTCTTTTTTTGCCGCCTTCCGCCCTGCGCTGCCACCAATCCTTTTTTGTTTTCCCCTTCTTTTTTTTCGCAGGGTACATTGGCCGTTAGCCTAACAGCACACGCACGCACGCACGCAGCACGCACGCAGCACGCACGCAAATGGACTAACACGGCATAGCTTGACATGCAGGATGGCGACACCCTCGAGGTCCACCAGGAGCAGATTGGCGGATGCTGACCAGCGCCACCGATTACATGGCTTTGTCTGGACCTTTGCTGTGTCCTGAATAACCGGCGGCTAGACAACTGACTGTGTATATCTCCCCCCAGCCATCCAATCAACCAACCTTGCGACTTGCCCGAGACATACGAAGACATGATTGCTTTGAGCGAAGGCGTGGCGGAAAGAGCTGACCTTGTCCTTTTCTTCCTTTTTTTGCACTTTTTCCTTTATTTTGCTGTCAGATATGGATATCACGGATTTTCTGGCGTCATGGTACTACCAAGCTCCGTCTTTGGGCGGTCCCCTCTTGGTGTTCTTCATTCAGGTAGTAGCGGTGGCGGGCAGGTGTGTGAGTGTGTATGTGGATGCGCTTTAACGCGGGAGATGATTTGAAATTCACTACATTTACTGTTATTCCAGCTGACCCCTATATGCATTGGGAAACCCTCATGTGTTTGTGCAATGGTACAATGGATTTTGTGACGTGATGACGCAAATTTGCCTACAAAAGCAAAAGGCTAATTGTACATTCCCGTAAACTCTTATATTTATATACAAACGACGAGGTTCATACTTGTGCTCCAACGTCTAGATAACACAACCACCCCATCCCTCCTCTAATCATCCCAAACAGCCTTCTTCCTCGCCTCCCTCGCTTCCGCTTCCCTCTTCTCCCTCTCTTTCTCCTCCACCCGCCTCTTCCTCTCCTTCTCCCTCATAACCCGATCATACTCCCTCTCCTCCTCCGTCCTCCTCGGCGCCCTCACTCCCAACGCCCCCGCAATCATCCTCCCGGCAACCGCCGTCGTCTTCTCCGGCCGCTTATCCAAACTCGCAGGGCTATTTCTGCTCCGCGGTCCCTCAGCCCCAATGTCATACCCCACGTTGTCGCCGTGCGGGTACTCGAATTGCGTGGGCGAGGCGGGAGTCGGGGGTGGGGGGTTGGGGGGTACGTCGGCTTCGTGGGAGGAGGTTGTTGAGAGGGGTTTTAGGGCATCTTGGGGTGAGGATTTGCCGCCGTCTTGTTGTTGGTCTTGTGATGCCTTGCCTTTTTTTGTGGAACTGCTGGTTTCGGTTTCGGTGTCTGAGGAGCTGAGGGCGCCGTCGTCGTCCCAGCTGTCGGCGACGGGCTTGGATTTGGGTTTCTTGAGCGGTTTCTCTGGGTGCGAGGGGGAGAGCTTGAGGTTGCCGAGGGTTTTTGCGATTTCTGTGGGAGAAGGAGGGTTAGTTTCGTAGTCGTTTGTGGAGGAGGGGATTTAGGGTGAAGATGCGTACCTTCTTCGCTGGGTGTCTTGTGGATGGGCGCCATATTGGTTTTTGGATATTCTGTTGTGAATTGCCCCCGTTGCTGATGTCCACACAAGTGTTTGTAAGGGTATATCGATCGTCCGAGGCTCCTCTTTTTCAAGGGTTTCGCAAGGTCAAAGCAACTGCACCGGTCCTTTGTCTAGTACTCTATTCCAAATTGCTTGGAAAGCTGCAGGGATAGGGCTTCGTTAGGTGGCTTTCCTAGCGGCTGGAGATGGAAACTTTAATTCAAGTAGTTCGAAAACGGCGATTCAGTCGAATGTATTAGAGTGAGAGGGATAAAAGAAAATCACTCAAGTCGCAATGAGGCGGGGATATAAGAGGTGGTGTTCGGAGAATTGATGAACCAGGGTATATTTGAAGTCTGTTTGCAAAGGTAAAGCAAAACCAAAGTCAGAGTACCAAAAGTCAAGGAGAAAGAGAGAGACACGCGAAATAAGTACCACTCAAGAAACTCGCAACACACAAGCTTCCCACCTAGCAAGGGCGCGGGGAGACACCGGGGCGGGGCGGGCGGAGGGAGACGCATGCAACCTCGAACCTTGGTTTTCCCTGCTTTGAGGTTCCGGTCGAGAAACAAATTCCCCCCACCTTTTGGCTTGGACTGTGGGGAAAGGGCGCGCGTCACCCCATGAGCACATACACAAACGTTCTTCATTACGTCTGCGCCTCATCTCGCCGTCCCTTTCCGATTAATGCCATCGTTTCCATGCATAGTAGCGGACCCGCCTTTTATTCTTTTCTCGTTACTATGTAGAGTTCTAGAATCACTAGTCTTTTGCCTTGCCACGATATGCTTAGTGAGTTTTTTGTGTCTTCTCTTCTCAGAAAGCATTTTCAGGATTGCTCGGCTAGAGGGTGACGAGAAGTGTGAAGTATTGTATTTCTCAAACTTGTTGTTCTATCGCTTGAACTTCGGTTTTGCATTATAGGGGGGATGCTAGGAAGATGGTGGAAGCGTTCTATACATAGCTACACATGCATCTATATCTCTCCTTTTATCCACTATAGGCCATCTTGCCGCGATGCAATACCATGACCATGCAACTTTCGCGAAGCTGTCAATACATGTGCAATTTTTAGCTACAATTGTATCTTTACATATCCTATGCATATACGTGTGGCGATATGCCCCAAGTATTGCGCATTCAACCACACTCGCTCCAAAATCTCAATAGAAAAATTGTAGGCACATACGACCATATATATTGCGTGTTCCCTTTTAGCCATGATTCTAGACACTCGTAACAACTGACCCAGACCAATGGGCACTGATCGTTACCTCTTTCGCAATGTTTGATTCGTCATGGTGAGATCTTAGGTCTGAAAAGATCTTCAGGGTTTTGTGGAGCGGTAGATCGGCGGATATGGACATGCGTAGGTCTGGGTCGTGTGTTCTAGCTGAACCCTGACTTTGTCACGTGATGCATGAAGAAAAAAGATAACTCTATTTTAGGGCGTTTTTAGATTGTTCATTTCATTGATTGTATGGTATGAATGTATACATGAGACAAGGACCGAGAAGTCCTTAAGGAGATGAGCATGATGAGCGAAGAGAAGCGTACATAGCAATCTCTAAACAAAAATAGACAAGACAGTATTAACAGTCCAACGAAAAGTATTAGTAGCGGGACACCTGCACGCGCCAGAGATTACCACCACTACTTATACTGGCTACTCCTGATATCTCTCGTCAAGAACAGTGATTTCTGCAAGCCGCGCATATGAATGCATAGGCAGCAAGTATATTAGACTAAGCAATTACAAATCGTGAGGCCAATGTAAAATACGCTGCAATGATACAAGAAAGCAGACCGGAACCTAGAGGACTATAATGTCCAAATCCAAAAAAAAACGCCTCTGGTCAGAAATAAATACCCATTGGGTATATTTCTCAAAAGCAGAATGCCAAACCATCCCGAAAAAAAGACCATGCGTCTTGTAAATGCGCAGATAACACCGGATATATGCAAATGCAAGCGACTGCATCATGTCATGTCATGCCTCTCCACGCTGTCTCACGTACTGGAACCAACTCTATCTCCAGAACCGTCGCCGCGCTTACTGAGTTTCTTCTTTGCTTTTCCCTTCTTCTTACTCATAGGTTCGCTGGGTGGTGAATGCGTTCCCCGACTGCCCCCCTGGCTCTCCCCTTGCTTCAAGCCCTTGACCTCCTGGAGCATGTCACGGAAGCCTTCCTCCAATGTTGTCATTCGTGCGAGCATAATTCTGCTCATACGGTTCGAGTCCGAGTCATTGTCGCTACCCTTTTGCTTCTCGCGCGCCTTCATCCTAGCAGCCATTTCGAATTGCGTCGTGAAAGATGCGGGCAGCCCGCTGAGGTTTCCAAAATTAGGGTTAAGCGCATTGTCTCCAATGTCCGACGCTAGGTCCAAGGCAATTGCACTGAAAGACGGTTCTCGTGTCAAGTTGTCGTTTAAGAGCAAATTAGCCGAATTCCTCCGTGGTGGCATGATCGCACGAGGCCGAGAGCCGGGAGCGGGAGGAGGCAGTACCCGCTTAGGTGTACGTGCGCCCGTCCCACTTGAGCCCTCCAAACGACCTGGGGTGGCTGTTCCGGTGGCTGTTCCACTGCGATTGCCAGTCTTGGGCCGTTTTTCGGGTGACACTGCACGAGATGTGCTCATCATGTCTTTGATGGGACTGAACAGGATCGTGCTCGTAGATGTATTTCGATTATGCGTTGGTTTCAACCGCTTCTTGCCAGGCGATGTCGGCCTGCTCTCCCTGAAACTGGACTCTGATGGCGCAATTGCAATTCCTGAAGAGCGCGTCTGCGTCCGCTGGACGCCAGTCATGGGCGTACGGAAGAATTCATCCTCAGAAGACTCGTATCCAGTCTGGGGCTTCTTACTCTCTTTTGGACTAGGCTCACGTCGAGGAGTAACGTTTTGATCGGTACTGGCTTGATCGTCTTCATCATCTCCATCAGCGTCGGTTTGCTGTGGCGCTTCCTCCATGACTGCCTTGTCGACTTCGGGTTCCGACTCTTCTGCGATGGGACCAGTGAGAGGTGTCACAAGCTCATCTGGATCCGACACAACAGCCCTCGCGGCAGCGAGTGGATGCTTTCGCCTTTGCTGACCTGAAGTTCTGGCCCGTCGCAAAAAGGGCCGTTGGCGACCCTCAAGCCGATCCAGAACTGACCGTGAATCATCCTGAGGTGGCGTGTTTTCATCATCGTTGCCCATCTTTCTCATCCAGTCCGACACGACATTACCAGAATTCCTTCTCGGGGTCGGATGCCGAGGAGTGGGCTGGAAGCTAGGGTCGAGGTAGGGCCTACGAAACACTTCTTCCAACGCCTGGTCCTTTTGGAACGTGGTAACAGAAGGCTCGCGCAAGCGGGGGCTGAACAAGTCTATAGGGCCACGAATGCTAAACGCGGGCACGGGGGCTTTTGACTCTGCGCGTCCTCGCCTCTCGACAAGATCGGTTGGGCCATATGCAAGATGCGACAGAATAAGGCGCTCGTAGACGAAGATGACGAACAGAATGGGAAGATGGGTCACCTTGATGATGAACCGGTTCATGCGTAGAAACTTTTTGAACGGCATCGTGTACTTGAGCGGGATCAATAACCATCCGATGATGTTAGTGGGTGGAATATAGGAAAACAGTGCATCCGACTTGACCATGGAAATCGTGTTTACGGCGAACAAGAATTGGTGCTCCTCATCAGCATTCTTGACGACGGCCATGAACGAGTTTGTCAAGACTGTGATAAGGATGGTCACAACAAGGAAATGACAAATGAAGAGGAACAGGGCAAGCAGGGTCTTGCCAAGAAAGTTCATGTCTCCCCAGAGGTCCCAAGCGGCAGGGCTGAATCCCATGACGAGCTGGAAGATTGCATATGCAGCATTTGAGGGGCCCAGATCTCGCTTGAAAGCCAAGCTAAAGGCAACAAAGAAACCACTGCAGCTGATGATGATCAGTACAAGCAGCGCAACCAAGTCAACAGCCATCATCTTGAAGGCAATCAGTAGCTGTGAAAAGTAGCGGTAGTGATCCAGGGCGGAGAAGAGTCGGGGAAACAGCAAGACTGCCGTAGACCCCAATACGTCATATGCCATGGCTGCAACTCTGGTGCTGCTAACGTCTGGCATGAGGATGCCGTATAGACGCAGAATATAGTATGCCATGAACATGAGCAAAATGCCTAGATCAAAGGCATTCCACACGCTCATAATGTACAGACCAAAACCCTGTTCTGAGAAGCCCACCACCTCGTCGAGCATATACCCAGCACTCCAAAACCAAAAGAGGACCTCGAGTCCGGTGATATCGTCAGACTTTTGTGAGAGTACAGCGAGAAACAGGCCCAGCATGATGGCAAAAGAGAGAGTCGAAAACAGATTGCGGTAGCGAGGAACTCGTAAGCGGGAGAGTTTGAAGAGCGATGCATCGTGGGGATCGTATAGCGTCACTGTTCGTCGAAGAATTGTAGCGGGCTGGTTCAGAGGAGGGGAGGGCTTGGTGGGTGGCGCTCGGCGAGAGGGACCAGTTCTCGGCGAGGCGGCGCCAGAGGCATTGGAGCTGCGTGCTTGGGGGGAGTCGGGCTTTCGGTGCAGGCTATCGGCACTAGAGTGGAAGACGATGGTGCCTGCCCAAATAGCTTCGAGCTGGCGCACAACAAGCGGATGGGCGAGAAACTTCTTTGCCTGAGCGCGAATGGCAATCTCGAGGGTCGAGATGCGCGCAGAGCGAGGCCCCTGTCTCGACCAATTTCGGCTGCCTGGGGTCATGTTGCCACGTCCAGGCATGGCTAAGCCCTGCAAGGGATCGAAATCATAGGAGAGCGCATCAATCAGTTCACGGGTCGAAAACTCCTTGAGCAGCCTCACGGCCAGCAGCTCGCATATCAGGGCACGGGTCTTGCTAACTCCCACGTTGCCGGGATTCTCTTCGCCCTCCTTCTTGAATTGCAGACAATTTGCGAGCAGGCAGTAGAGCAATCCGCGCGAGAACTGGTCGGAGCGAAGTTGTTGCTGGATGGGCTTGACGAGGAATTGTGAGACTTGGGGCGAGCGCAGTTGGTCCCAGGAGAGTGTCGTTTCACATCGCTGGACAAGGATGATGCGGATGGCGTGCGTGGTGTTGTAAATGGGTATGCGATCTGTATAGGGTGTCAGGAGATTTGAACATGAGCCGCATCTAAACGGTGCGCCTACCCAAGATTTCGGGGGAGAAGACTGGGAGCAAAGGCCCATCGCGCTGGCGGCGCTGAGGCTGAGGCTGGTGCTCGTCCTCATCCTCATACTCGTCATCGTCGCCGTCGAAATGGGTTACTGCGCCCGGGTTGTGGTCGGCCGGGTCCGATTCGTCTCCATTGTGGCGGCGGCGGTACCTGTCGATTGCGGCGAGCAATGGTGTCGTCTCTGAGGGCCGGCGTGACTTTGAGGCGAAGAATGAGGAGAACATGGAGAGGACCTCTTGTCTCCAGGGTAGTGGCGTCTGTCGTCAAAGTCGGAGCAGACCGAGGGGAGATAGGAGGGAGGGAGGGAGGGCGGGAGAGATATCGGGGCTCGGTGGGTGGAGATGCTAGGCCAGGTTTCACCACGGGGTGGGAAATGAAGCACAGAAGAGGGCGATAAAAGCGCTCTTGCCCATTTTCGTGCCGCACTTGGTCCACTGCCCAGATTTAGGCCGTCATGCGGCATCGTGCCGTCGAGGCATCATGAGGAAGGGTGAGACGCGACCGCCATGTCGTCTCGTCCATGTCTACACGGCTATCCAGCCAATGGCCGGCGGCGCGCACCACATGCAGCCAGGGCCTGGGAGCGTAGGCGGCGCGGAGGGCATACGACGGCCAAGTGAGACAGGCGCAAATGCGACCACGGCCTGCTCCAGTACACCTCTTTTCCTTTTCGCCCCTCGTCATCGACACCGGATGCCTGCATGGGGGTTGGCTTATCGCTCAAGTGGCGCATACATCTGGGGTGCAGCATGCGCACGCCCTCTACGGCCTACTCTACTTGGACGTTAAAAACACCTCAGATCTTCACATACTTGGCTGCCGGGATTCTTACTTTTCGCAATGCTAATCACTAGGCGCAAATACGCAATAGGACCCCGATGCCTCGCTCCCGTTGTGCTCAGCCGCAAGCCACGGAATGCAAATGCTTCTGTCCTGCCAAATTGGATATGTGGCCATGGGGGTGCCGTCATATGCCCCGCGCGGTCTGCGAGCATCTAGACGACAGCTTCCAAGATGCTGCGACGGGGCTCACTGCTCGCTACCACGCCGACGCGAGAGCCCTGCATGTTCCCTCGACAAGAACGAAGACTAGATCTGTCTATTCCTAGTAATATCGGCTTCCCATATACGATATCCCATTCGTCACCCTTCCGCTATCGGGCTTTGCGCGCGGCCATCGACGGCCTACTTACTTCCAATCCCCATGTCTGCTACCTCACCCACCCACGCCAACAAAAAAAAATGCCGCCGCGCGTGAAAAAAAGAACCGACAACGGTGATGTCGTGCTGCAGCTGAACCGTTGGGTCCTGCACGCATCATGGACTCCACTGCACCCCCCGATCTCCGTCATTGGCAGTGCTGGCGAGACTGGCGACTTGGAATGCACACCGCCCTGCCACACCCCTGCGATCCCTTGCATCCAGCACGATGCGTATAGCGTCTCTGTCCATGTCCGAGTAGGCGCAGATCCTGCTTGAATACAGCAGGATATGCTAGTTCGCCAGCCTGCTGCATGACCACATACGTACGTACGTATTCATCTCATCCTCAGTACTTCACGCCGAGGCACGGTGTAATAAAAATCCCATAATCCTAACATACATCGGACATGAGGGGCAGTAGGTGCTCTGCCTTCCCTACTATCGATAAGCCCATGTCACGTGCACTCCCTGTTGACCTTTGATTTCTCAACATGTATCACCCTAGCCCGGAGACATCGAGCTAGGACATTTGCCTATGTAAAGGCTGGCTCAGTATCAAATCATGACATTCCATTTTGGTAGTTAGAAAAAAATGCCTACGTACATATGCAGTGGCCCGGATACCTCGATTCGCAGACTCGGCACCGCACACAAGCCTCGTCATTCGCTCAGGTGGGGCAGACCAATCAACCCCGCCATACACCTGCAGCTAGTCCGCTTTCGTTTTTTTCAACTGCAGTGAGGCTCCGAAACTTTTTTTTTCTTTTCTGTTGAGCCTTCAAGAACTCTTCTCTCCCCTCAAATTGTCCGGCAGTCTCGCATCCCAGGGTTCCATAGCCCTAGAGCTGTCTCTTGTATCCTCAATTATGGCATCCCTGCCCGAACAAAGCCAGAATCTGGCACTTGAGCTTCAAGATGGCTACGTTTGCTTTGGACAAAGCTTCGGTGCCGACAAGAGCATCTCTGGAGAGCTTGTCTTCCAGACTGGTATGGTCGGCTACCCCGAGTCTGTAACAGATCCTTCATACAGAGGTCAAATCCTTGTCATTACATTTCCCCTTGTGGGCAACTATGGCGTCCCGTCTCGAGAGGAAATGGATAGTCTGCTCAAGGAAGTTCCAGCAAATTTCGAGTCTAGAGAGATTCACATTGCTGGACTCGTCGTGGCTACATATGCCGGCGAGGAATACTCCCACCACTTGGCCACCTCTTCGCTGGGTGCATGGCTCAAGGAACAGGGCGTGCCCGCCATCACAGGCGTCGACACGCGAGCGCTAACCAAACGTATCAGAGAAGAGGGAAGCATGCTGGGACGTCTTCTCCAGAGGACCGCACCAACACCCTCTGCCGCTCTCACCGAGGGCGAGACCGACTGGAGGAGCAGCTTCGAGCAGATTGAATGGGTAGACCCCAACAAGAAGAACCTTGTCGCCGAAGGTACGTTCGCTCTACTTCCAAAGTCGTGCCATTCCTGACACTCTCTAGTCTCCATCAAGGAGCCAAAGCTTTACTCTCCCGATCCCGCCACTGCGCTCAAGCACCCTTCTGGCCGTCCTGTTCGTGTAGTAACCGTTGACGTGGGTCTCAAATACAATCAATTGAGATGCTTGGTACGAAGGGGAGTCGAAGTCCTACAAGTACCTTGGGACTACGACTTCCCCAAGCTTGCCGGCAAGGACTATGATGGTCTCTTCATCTCCAACGGTCCCGGTGACCCAGCCATGATGGAGTCTACAGTACAGCACATCAAGAACGCCATGGATGAGGCCCGAACACCCATCTTTGGTATCTGTCTTGGCCACCAACTGCTCGCTCGAGCGGCCGGCGCTAGCACAATCAAGATGAAGTTTGGTAACCGTGGTGCCAACATTCCCTGCACAAGCTTGCTCACTGGAAAGTGCCACATCACCTCACAGAACCACGGATATGCCGTTGACTCCAAAACTCTACCCAGCAGCTGGGAAGAGCTCTTCGTCAACGCCAATGACGGCAGTAACGAGGGTATCCGACACCAGCAAAAGCCATACTTCAGTGTGCAATTCCACCCTGAACACACACCTGGCCCCCGTGACACGGAGTACCTCTTCGATGTCTTCATTAGCACCATACAAAAGGCCATGACATCACCAGAGGTCATGTCAAAACCAGTCGAATTCCCCGGTGGCACTTTCGAGGAGAACAGAAAGCTCACCCCTAGGGTCGACGTCAAGAAAGTCCTTGTTCTTGGAAGTGGAGGCTTGAGTATTGGACAGGCTGGAGAGTTTGACTACTCTGGTAGCCAGGCTATTAAGGCTTTGAAGGAAGAGGGCATCTACACTATCTTGATCAACCCCAACATCGCTACCATCCAAACCTCAAAGGGTCTCGCCGACAAGGTCTACTTCTTGCCTGTCAACGCAGACTTCGTCCGCAAGGTCATTCAGAAAGAGCGACCCGATGGTATCTACGTAACCTTCGGTGGTCAGACTGCACTCCAGGTCGGTATTCAGCTCAAGGATGAATTCGAAGGTCTTGGTGTCAAGGTTCTTGGTACCCCAATTGACACCATCATCACCACTGAGGACCGCGAGCTCTTTGCCCGTAGTATGGAGTCTATCGGGGAGAAGTGTGCCAAGTCTGCATCTGCCAACAACGTCGAAGAAGCCATGAATGCGGTCAAAGACATTGGCTTCCCTGTCATTGTACGAGCAGCATATGCTCTGGGTGGACTCGGTAGTGGTTTCGCCGACAACGAGCAACAACTTCTTGATCTGTGTAACAAGGCTTTTGCAGCCAGTCCTCAGGTGCTCATTGAGCGCAGTATGAAGGGATGGAAGGAGATCGAGTACGAAGTCGTCCGTGATTGCCGGGACAACTGCATCACCGTTTGTAACATGGAGAACTTCGACCCGCTCGGTATTCACACTGGAGACTCTATTGTCGTTGCGCCCTCGCAGACCCTTTCGGACGCTGACTACAACATGCTCCGAACGACTGCTGTCAACGTTATCCGCCATCTTGGTGTTGTTGGCGAGTGCAACATTCAGTACGCACTTAACCCATTCTCCAAAGAGTACTGCATTATCGAGGTCAACGCTCGTCTTTCGCGTTCTTCCGCTCTTGCTTCCAAAGCCACTGGATATCCTCTTGCATTCGTCGCTGCCAAGCTTGGTCTGAACATCCCTCTCAACGAGATCTCCAACTCAGTCACACGCTCGACTTGCGCTTGCTTCGAGCCATCGCTTGATTACGTCGTGGTCAAGATTCCTCGCTGGGATTTGAAGAAGTTCACCCGTGTATCGACTCTTCTCGGCTCATCTATGAAGAGTGTCGGAGAGGTCATGAGTATTGGCCGGACGTTCGAGGAGGCCTTGCAAAAGGCTATTCGTGAGATTGACCCTAGCAATCTTGGCTTCAACGAGACCCCTGCCTTGATGGAAATCGACCAGGAACTGCAAACACCTTCCGATCAGCGTCTCTTTGCTATTGCTAATGCTATGAAATCTGGATACAGTGTCGATAAGATCTGGGAGATGACCAAGATCGACAAGTGGTTCCTCAGCCGTCTCAAGTCTCTAAGTGAGTTCGAGAAATTGATGGCGGACTACGACACTGTCAGCATCACCAAGCCCTTGATCAAGAAAGCTAAGCAACTCGGATTTTCTGACCGTCAACTTGCCAAATTCTGGGCATCCAATGAGCTCGCTGTACGCCGTGTACGTGTCGATGCTGGTATCTTCCCTGTTGTGAAGCAGATTGATACCGTCGCTGCTGAGTTCCCTGCGGTAACCAACTACCTTTACCTCACATACAACGGCAATGAGCACGACATCAGCTTCAACGACAAGGGTATCATGGTGCTCGGTTCCGGTGTGTACCGTATCGGATCTTCTGTCGAGTTCGACTGGTGCTCTGTCCGTGCCATCCGCACACTGAGGCAGCAGGGCTTCAAGACCGTCATGTTGAACTACAACCCCGAGACCGTTTCCACTGATTACGACGAGGCCGACCGTCTCTACTTTGAGTGCATCTCTTTGGAAACCGTGCTGGACATCTACACCATTGAGAACTCGAGCGGCGTGGTCGTAAGTATGGGTGGTCAGACTTCAAACAACATTGCCCTACCGCTGCACCGCATGAACGTCAAGATCCTTGGTACTTCCCCAGAGATGATCGATACCGCAGAGAACAGATACAAGTTCTCTCGTATGCTTGACCGTATCTCTGTAGACCAGCCTGCCTGGAAAGAGCTCACAAGTATTGAGGAGGCGACCGAGTTCTGCGAGCGGGTATCTTACCCCGTCTTGGTTCGTCCTTCCTATGTTTTGTCTGGAGCCGCCATGAATACTGTCTACTCGAAGCACGATCTGGCTAATTACTTGAACCAAGCGGCAGACGTGTCTAAGGAACATCCTGTCGTTATTACAAAGTACATTGAGAATGCCAAGGAAATCGAGATGGACGCTGTTGCCAACAAGGGTACGATGATCGGACATTTCATCTCTGAACACGTAGAGAATGCTGGTGTTCACTCCGGTGATGCCACTTTGATTCTGCCTCCCCAGGATCTCGACCCCGAGACCGTGAGACAGATCGAAGATGCCACTCGCAAGATTGGAGCAGCTCTCAACATTACAGGACCGTACAACATCCAGTTTATTGCTAAAGACAACGAGATCAAGGTCATTGAGTGCAACGTTCGTGCGTCCCGATCTTTCCCCTTCGTCTCCAAGGTTATGGGTGTCGACCTGATTGAGATGGCTACCAAGGCCATGGCTGGTCTACCTGTCCAGGAGTACCCACCGGTCAATATTCCAGCAGAATATGTTGGTGTCAAGGTTCCCCAGTTCTCATTCTCTCGTCTCTCTGGTGCCGATCCTGTTCTTGGTGTAGAGATGGCTTCCACCGGTGAAGTTGCTTGCTTCGGTCGTACCAAGTACGAAGCCTATATCAAGGGTCTCATCGCCACCGGCTTTAGGCTGCCAAAGAAGAACATTCTCCTGTCAATTGGTTCGTTCAAGGATAAGTTGGAAATGCTTCCATCAATTGAACGCCTGCACAAGATGGGCTACAACCTCTTCGCAACTGCTGGAACTGCCGACTACATTCAAGAGCACGGTATTCCGGTCAAGTTCCTGGAAGTCCTTTCTAGTGGCGAACACGACGAGCAGAAGCAAGAGTACTCGCTCACACAGCACTTGTCCAATAACCTTATCGATCTCTACATCAACCTGCCATCAAGCAACCGCTTCCGCCGACCTGCCAACTACATGAGTAGGGGTTACCAGACACGTCGTATGGCCGTCGACTATCAGACTCCATTGGTCACCAATGTCAAGAACGCCAAGTTGCTGATCGAGGCAATTGCCCGCCACTACGACATGGAGGTCAGCAAGGTTGATTTCCAAGACTTCACTGTTGCTACCGGATCCCACGACCAATCTTCTGGAGCCAATTCTAGCCTGAACAGTTCATTGTCTCTAACGCAGCTCCTCGCGAAGTCGCCATTCAAGCAACAGAGCATTACCTCTGTCAAACAGTTCTCCCGAGCAGACCTCCACCTTCTGTTCACTATTGCCCAGGAGATGCGCCTGGGTACTCAGCGACAGGGCTGTCTCGATGTCCTCAAGGGTCGTGTACTTTGCACCATGTTCTGTGAGCCATCTACAAGAACGTCAGCTTCTTTTGATGCTGCCATGAAGCGTCTGGGTGGTGAGGTTGTTGTCATTAACGAATCAGTTTCTTCTACCCAGAAGGGCGAGTCTATCGCTGATACCATCCGTACTTTGGGCTGCTACGGTGATGCTATTGTCCTCCGCCACCCATCCGAGGAATCCATCGACATTGCCACAAAGTTCTCTGATGTTCCAATCATCAACGCTGGCAATGGAAGCCGCGAGCACCCAACTCAGGCCCTTCTCGATATTTTCACTATCCGTGAGGAGCTTGGAACCGTCAACGGCCTCAACATTACCTTCGTTGGTGACCTCAAGTACGGCCGCACTGTACACTCCCTGTGCGAGCTTCTTTCTCACTACGACGTTACCATCAACCTCGTCTCTCCAGAGTCCCTCGTTATGCCTTCGGGTGTAACCAACGCTCTCAAGTCACGAGGTCAGCTGAACAAGGTTTCCAACGAGCTCACAGACGAGATTGTCGCTTCTTCGGATGTCATCTACTGCACTCGTGTGCAGAAAGAGCGCTTCCCCGACGTGGCCAGCTACGAGGCTGTGAAGGACGCGTTTGTCATTGACAACAAGTTGTTGAAGGGAGCCAAAGAGAACATGATTGTCATGCACCCACTGCCTAGGAACAATGAGATCAACGAGGAGGTTGACTTTGACCCTAGGGCGGCATACTTCAGACAGGTAGGTTTTAAATTGTCAAAGAGGAAATGCAAGGGCTAACAGATATACAGATGAGATACGGACTGTATACCCGCATGGCACTGCTCGCTATGGTCATGGCACCGTAGATGCACAGTAATGTGTATGAGTTTCATGGCAGGCGTTTGACGGTTTTTAACGAATACGAGCAAAACAGCAAAAAAGTCTCCTTTTTTTATTTTCCATTTCCACTGATACATTTTCTTTTTCCTTTGGGGTCTATTCCGTGGTTTCGGGGTAGGCATACAGACTGTAGATAGATAGTCAAAAGCATTTCCATGGAGTTGAGTGAAAACGGCATATAAGGGTATATATATGATGTATATTTCTTGTAATCAGGGTAGGGGGGAGCTATTTCAGTTTTATTTCAGGCTGTTTTTTGTTTTTTCTGGCGTCTGGGTTTAGGGTTACGTTTGGGTCATGATTAGGTTTGGGTGGGGCAGATTCGGATTAGCTCGGTTGGGCAATAGTTTGGTGCATCTTGGGACACAAACAGGTTATCCCAGGGAAGGGATCTGCATTGGGACGGTGTTTTTTTGGTTGTTGGAAAGAGAAAGTAGTCGATTTCAAGACTACTGATGGCGCAATTGGAAAGAGAAGAAAATAGACGCCAGACGCCATGCCACTTAGTAAGGACTATAATGAAGAATACTACATGCACGCCATGAAGCGTGTATTGACGTAGGCACAAAGGCCTGCTTTATTCCCAGCCACATTGTTTTGTTTACGGGTCCAAAACATGATTCGAGTTGTTCGGTTCGAGGAGTGAAATGGTTATAGAGGATATGGTAGGGGGGACTTAGTGACCGAGGCATCGACTCCATCCTGTTGAATGTTAGTGGGTTCATGGTTTCCCAAATCACTCGGTTCCAAAGAGGGAGAAACATACCAGGCAGCCCGCATCCAAAGCCTACAAACAAGTAGAGCAGAAAGATGACGACGAGAATCAAAAGCACCATGAGCTTGACGTTTTTCCACCACATCCTCCTCTTCAATGTCCGACTCCTAACTCTAAAGTCCCTCGCATTCTCACCCAGCCTCCCCGTCTTGTCCACAAGCACACTCATATGCTCGCCCCTCTCAAGCACCCTCTCAATATTCTCCGTCATAATCTCCCTCACACCCTCAATCTCGCGCTGTGCCGTCCTAAGCGCATCCTGCTGCCCCGCCTGCGTACTCCCCTGCTCCAGCATCAACCTCTTGAGCGCGCCATTAAAACTCGCGCAGCCATACGGCGGCAAGTCATGGAAATTCGTACTCTCAGGCTCGAACTCTGCGAAGAAGCGCTTCTCAAGCGTGGCGAGGAAGCCGAACGGGATGCGCTGGCCCAGCTCGCGCTCCGCGATGACGAGGAAGGTTAGGCCGCCGGCGGTGGCGTGGGAGGCGGGGAAATCAGAGGGCGATTTGACGAGGCAGTGGATGAAGAATTTGGATTGGTCGATTGTCTTGTGGGCGGATTTGTCGTGCGCGATGCGTGGGAGGACGAGGGAGACGAGCGAGGAGGCGTTGGAGGAGGCTGAGGCTGTGTGTTCGGCGAGGACCGTGGTGTTGTGGGCGATGCAGGCGCTGGTGGGGGTGTTAGTAAGATAGATGGTGTGAAATAGGGGAGATATGGAGAGAGTCGTACTATAGCAGCGGCGAGGACGAGGATGAAGATGCCATATTTGGGAGAGGTTACTCGTCGAGCGGGAACAAGTCTAGCGCTTGATAGATGAATGGAGTTGTGTATCTTCAGCTTCTACTCCGATAGTATGTCGTAGGTTTCGTATGCGATCTGGATTCTCAACAGAGTCTGTACTTGCTGCTGGTGGCTGTGTGGGTCTAACTGGGGAAAACTGGGAGTGTGTCGCAGGCACTGGATGTCGGATTGCTGCGCAAGACGCAAGGACAAGGCGCTAAAAGCTGGGGATATGGCTAACCATGTGCGTCATAAGCCAAGGAAAGCCCCCAATCAACTTGCCTTGCGCTAATGCATAGCCCAAAAGATTGAGGACCGTGGTCTTGCATTTCGCTTTTTTGCTTTGTTTGAAAAATTACAATCAGATACAACGTGACTTCACGTGTCTTGCGCGTGCGCTTCGATTACAGAGGGGGCACAGACATCGCGACCGCTTGCTGCTCGGTGTCGTTGGTGCGCAACCTTATCGTACTACATATTTAGTTTCTGATTACTTTTCTTGTTCCAACATCCCTCTACACATAACTTTACTTCACCCTCCATATACGCACACACCTCGGCGCATTGAAGCCACCATGGTGCGCGTCAAGAATCGCTATCTAGTAGTCAACTTCCTGTACCCAGAGCCCCACACAAAGACAAAATCCAAACTCCCCGACGTAATTCAAATCCACTCGCCCACGCCCGACGCGCTCAAGCCAGGTTTCATTGTGCGCATGATACGGGATGGAGTCGAAGAATTATTTGGCGATTATGGGTCTGGTATGGTATCTTCTGGGCTAAAAGGTAAACTGCAATTTCCCCTATGCCTTCCTTACACTTACACACGCACATTTACATATGCTGTCGCATACTCTACAGTAACTAATACTCGACCACACAGTAAACTACTACTCCCCCTCAACTAGCACAGCCATAGTCCGGTGCCCACGCGACCACTACGAAATGGTCTGGGCCGCCCTCACATACACTACGCGCCTCCCGCGGCCGCTCGATACCCCCGTTGTGATACGAGTGGTGCGAGTTAGCGGGACAATTAAAAAGGCAGAGGAAGAGGTTATACGGCAGTCGCAACTTGTTATCAAGAGAGCGAGGGAGTGGGACAGCGAGGGACAATTACCCATGCTGCAGAGTGTGGAGAAGGCAGTGGAGAAAGAGCGGAGGGGAGAGGTGCAGGTGCTCGCCGAAGTTGATAATGAGAGTGATAGCGACGATATGAGTGAGTAGATGCGGGTTCTAACTTATTTGGAAAGCCAACTCTTAGGTAACCTCGCTTGGTGTGCGATATGTAAAAGCGCCTCGATTCTGCAAGACAGGTTGCTGCATATTATGTATATGCATGAGCTTGTTTCTCCTGGACGAGGACAAGTCACGCCCTCACAGTCGAGAGCTGTGGCATTTCTCCCAAGTCGACATCCGCGCGCTCGTTCAGCTAACATACGCTGGAGTCTTCCCTGTCAACCGCGGTATGCAATCGACAATACACCAAATCGTCACAGACCGTTACATCGATACAAAACAGTCGGCGAGTATACATGTCAGCAAATCTATTGTACACAACCTCTATGATACATATGGTGGAAAAAAGAAAACTTGTGCTCTTCTACATGAGAAAGCATGGGACCAGATCAATGTCTTAATTGGGTCTAAGCATAGCAATCAGAGTAGCAGTAATGACGGCTCCCGCCGCAGCACCTTGTAAAACAGCAGTCGTGTAGTCGATTCTCCGCATGGAAATGACACGCTCGCTGAGCAAATCATTGGCAATGTAGTGTGCCTTTTCCTGCCAAGTCTCCAGTTTACTATAGGGATGATAGGACGGAGCAGCCTCCCTGGCCACGGTGACTTTCTCCTCGGGCGTCAAGGTCTCTTCTTCTGGGCTGAATTCAGTGACTCCCGGCACCGGCTCAACAAGGGTTTCTGCGACAACATCGGGGACAACTTCTGGCTCTGCAGCTGCTGGCAACTCTTCAATAGGCTCTTCAACAACCTCTTCCACTACAGCAGGTGCAACAGGTACAGTAGCTGTCGTAGGGGCATGGGCGTGCTCAACAACCCTCTCGGCCTCCCTCTCCATGGCTGCAAGTCCCTGACTGCTAAGAGCAGGTGTTGCAGCCGCTGCAGCGGCCGCAGATGCAGCTTCGGAAGCAATTTTCTGCTGCGCCTCCAACGCGTTCTTGATCTCCTTGACCATTCTCTTTCTTCTCCAGGGCTCTAGGATTGCTAGACTGAGCAGCAGCAAGAAGATGTTGACGCCCATCAGTCCAAAGGTAACCCAGGTGCTGTTCCTGCGGATAGTATCACTCCAGATTTGTTCCTCATGGTACTGTGCACGCTCTCTCTTTTCCAGCTGCGCCCGTGCATCCTCCAAGGCATTCTCGGCGTTTGCAACGGCATCCTTTGCTTCCCGGACGGCCTGGTCATTGAGGTGTTCAGATCGGATAAGAGCCATGTAGCGTTCGAGATCGCTATTTGACCACGAGTGTTTCCGTTCGAGGAGAGCGACGACTTCTTTCTGTGAGGTGGCCTGGTGAGCGAGGGCAGTATCGAGGGCTTGTTTGGCAGCGTCAATGGCTGAACGGCGGGCTTTTACGAGCTTTTCTGTCCTGAGATTAGAGCTAATGTCTTCAAAAGGAACGAAGAAATGGCGTACCTTGTTCTTTGATTTCCCTTCGGAGGGCTTCTACTCCTGAGTAGTCGGTACCGGTATATGTGTTGACCTTTTGTGTTACTACAGCAAGCTTGGGTAGCAGTTCGTCCATGGCATCAGAGAAGCGCTTCAAAATGCTCCATCTCTGCCTCTCACGGTGCGAAGGCAAGTGCTCGTCGGGTACGCGTGCAATGGGATCTTGGGACTCGGTTTTCTTGGCTGGTTCCGGTTCGGGCTCTGGTGAGGGAGGTTTGGGGGCTTCAGTAGCTGGCGATTCCTTGAGTGCTGCTACCGAGCTCTCGGCGGCTCTCTGGATGGCTATCTGATCCTCTAGTAATGCATTGAGTCTTCTCTGCAATCTTTCCTGATCTTCTGGCGATGGCGGGGGTGCGGAAACATTGGGCGGTGGTTGTGCTGGGGCTTGCGGTTGTGATGGAGCCTGTGGTTGTGTTGGTGCTGCGGGCGGTAGCATTGCGATGGCATCTGACGGTTTTGGCGGCTTTCTTCCTTCTTCTCTCCATCGAGTCGAGCTTGAGAGGGCACGTCGCTGCCATGTCTCAGCTGCATTGATGGTTAGTTGCAGCCTTGGATCCCATCTTGGTGCACTGCCAGACAATGACAGGCGATGGTGGCATGGCAGACATGGCGACGACGCGGTGCCTGCACGGCGACTGAAAAGGTGGAGTGAAGAGGCTACCTTGTTAGTGACCAGCTCGCGTGAAGCATGCTGAAGCAATGGCCTCATTGCTGTCTCTTGCCTTACATCAAGAGCGCAGTGACGGGGACGACGAATGACGAAAAAGCACCAGCCATGCGGACCTCCGAAGCGCTCTGACGTGCCAAGAGACGTGGGGTTGCCCTCGACGTGTTGAGCACCGGCTTGCCCATTCAGGCTGTACCTAGTGTCCTTCGAGTATTTCAGGTATTGGCCGAGTGACTTGATGTACATGATTTTCTGTCTTTTGTAGCCCCTCGGCTTTTTCCTACGACATTCGCCCGCTTCATACGTTCAAGATGGGATCTATCGATTTGGCAGAGTTGCCCGCTATGAAGAGCGACCCCAAGGTACATAATGCGACACCCTGCTCGACATGTTCAACTAGAACAGTACATACTGACATTATGAGCCAGTTCATTTTCTTCACCGACTTCGACGGCACAATCACACTTCAAGACTCAAATGACTTCATGACCGACAACATCGGCTATGGCCAGGAAAAGAGGCGCGCAGGCAACATTGCCTGCCTCAACAACGAAATCTCCTTCCGCGACTCCTTCCGCGACATGATGGACAGCGTCACACGGCCCTACGATCAATGCATCAAGTACCTTGTCGACAATATCAAGCTAGACCCAGGCTTCAAGGCCTTCTTCGAGTGGTCGCTCGAGAACAACATTCCCGTTGTAGTCCTGAGTTCGGGCATGGAACCTATTATTCGCGCGCTGCTTGAGAAGCTTGTCGGGCCCAGCGCAAGCAAGATGCAGGTTCTGGGTAACTACGTGGGTCCTCGCGAGGGCAAGAGCATCAACGAAGAGGGCGGATGGCAGATTCTGTTCAAGCACCCGGACTCGGGTTTCGGCCACGACAAGTCAATTGAGCTGCGCAAGTACTCGTCGCTCCCCGAGAACGTGCGCCCGACTATGTTCTACGCTGGCGACGGTGTGTCAGATTTGTCGGCTGCGCGCGAGACAGATCTGCTTTTCGCGAAGAAGGGACATGATCTGATTAGCTACTGTGCTCGCGAAGATGTCCCCTTTACGGTCTTCAAGGATTGGTCCGATATCCTGGCCAAGTGCAAGAGCATTGTCGAGGGCAAGACGACAGTCCAGGCTGCGGCCAAGGAAGGCTATGAAGCGTACAAAAAGGGCGAGGCTGGCCTCAAGAAGTAGATGGCGGACTTGTGGGGAAGGATTTAACTGGAGAGACGGAAAAGCTCTCATTATCCGGTTTCCATGTTGCGGCGCAGCTGGTTTCCAGACATTCTCATGCTTCCCCTTTTTCCAGGCGGATCGCTCCAGATGTGATGCCCGCGGTAGTAGCTGTAGCGTTGTTGTGAGCGGCCCACATGTGTGGGGAGGAGGAGGAAGCGATACGGTCTCGCAGGTGACTGCGACAAACGCAAACGTCTTTACACGATCAAACAGGACGATAGACATGATTTACACGATAGACTATAGAAACCCACAATTTCAGTTTACACATGAAAATTTAGTTTTTGGCATAAGAATACACCGGTTTGTCTACATTATCATCATACAGAGTGGCGTAACGAAACTAAACTTCCTTGGATGGGTATATCTCGTTGCATAGGAAAAACAAAAATCAGACCAATACATACGAAATCCTTCTTCTCTGTCTCATCGACTTATAGCTACCTCAGTGGTCTTTACAATCGTCAAACCCCTTTGCACAGACCTCCGCGGACCACATCGTGCCTCGTAACTATCAATGCTATTGTCGCTCTCCCCAGCCGGACTTCCAAGTCTCTCAAGACCGCCTTTACCTCGTCCAGCTACGACAGTGTACGTGTCCTTGGCAAGCACTGTGTCTTCGCTATAAGGGTCGCGTCCTATCGATTGACTGCCCTCGCTCATGTTCTTCATGACGAAGCTATCGCCATTTTGCTTCTCACTCTGTTTCATATACCCCCTTGAGCGAAACGGTGTGCTGTTGAGGCCATTGGAGCCGGTTGTTCGGCCTCTTGTAGCTATGGATCGGACTTGTCCGAAGAAGCTTGCGAAGAGTGGTTTCATAGTTGGAAGACAGGCAGCGATGATACCGACATGCATTTCTACTCTTTTTTGTTGCAATAAAAGTCAGTTTCGAGTCCTTCAGGAGTTCTAGTGCATGATGCAAGGACGTACTGTTGCCAGATGTAGTACCAGGATCCGTCACCGGACCAATCCTTTACTTTGAAGAAATTGGCTTGCATCGGCGTCTTGTAGATTGCTATAGCAGAGGCGAAGAGACCGAGACCTAGGATTGTTGCGAGACCAATGCGCGTTTGGATAGTAACTTGTAGCTTCCAGACCATGGGGATGGGGATCAGGGCGAATATCAGATCTGTGGCGATGTTGATGCAAGAGTTGAAGACACCGACGTTTTTGAAGATTGTTGCATCATAGCATTCTGCTTTGCTGTGTTTCTGTTAGCCATCGTGTTGAGCTATGTCAAGGCCTGTATTGGTACCAACCCCATTGGCGGACGCATGGTGTAGTCCCACCCTGCTCGTACGGGTATACACTGGAATATGATGGCGAAGGTCGAGCCAATGGTAAAAATAACAATGAAAACTAAGCCCTCTATCAGTCATGATTGCAAAAAATGCAGAATTTTCCAGCCAATGTTACTTACTCAACATGCCGATTAGGAATGGTCGCCATCTTGTCCGGTCTGCCAGTCGGAGCAAGAAGAGACCGATCGATAGCTTGATGAAGCTGTATCCGGCAATAATGAGAATCGAGTAAAAGTACATGTACTTGAAAAAGGGGAAAATATTCTCCACTGGGAATGCTTCGGCGTGTTTTCCCAGTCCAAGGTTGATGACTGTCAAGAATAGACCCAGTGTCGTTGTGCTTATGCACTAAAGACATAGGTGTCAGCGATATGTTCAGCGAACAAAGACATTTTCTGTCTTTACGAATGTGGTAGGCATACTACTGCAACCAACATCATAATGTCTGGTTTGGTCGGTCAGTGACGTTCGGCGATTCTCATACGTCAGTGGTGTTACATACCATCCCAGCCAAATGTTTTCAACATGAAGATTCGCACATAGAACCGTAGAAGCACCGCAGCGGTTGATAATGCGAATAGAGGACCCTCTACGGCCATCAAATGGGAAGCTTGATTCTCTGCCATGTACTCTGGTGATCGCACTGGCGTTGGGGGAGGTTCCCAACCCTGTCTCGAAATGAGATGATGGTATGCCATGTTGAAAATGTACCCTCAAAAGGAAGCAAAACGAAAGAAAAGACCGGATTCAACAGAAGACAGACATGTAGGTTTTCATGGCTCTGCTCAAAAACGCCCCATGACCGTGTGTCCGAAAGTGGCACGCAGACACGCGCAGAGTGTAAAGACTGTGCACTACAGTAGATGGCCACATCTGGATCAGTATTGGTCCGGGCCAAAACATGCTCCTCCGTATATGCACGCTACATTGTTTAATGTCGAAGCTACGACTCGGCTGTGTTGCATAACAGGGGAACGGCCGGAGTGGCGGACTGTCTGCCCAATCATGTTGATGATGCCAACAGGATTGCAAAGCTTGATCCCGAATCCACTGGCCTGGCGCTATGTTGCTACAATCTGAGGGTCAAGATGGGCTCCCTTTATTTCTTGTCTTCATGCTTTGGAAGAACGCAAAGACGCGGTGGTGTGAGTATATGTACAGACTGCTGGCTGAAACACTGTCATAACTCGAGTCTACATTACAATATATTCTAGACATCCGTTGAGTGTATCATGGATATTTCTGTCATTGCGAACTTGGCACGTGCTGCTTTTGGATAATCAGGACTAATATTGACGGTCAGAAGTGGTAGAACATGTCTTCATCCGGAGGAAGAATCAACGCAGGCTCTATCACTCTGCACCTGAATCCTTTCTGACAGAAAAATGGCAATTCTCATATTCAGAAAATCATGGGATTTTGCAGTTGTTTCCGATTCCACCGGACTTTGCTGCGCTGCCTCGGAAACTGTATGTTGGGAGTGTAGGATTCATCATAAGAATGTGGTAGATTCTGCGAACGGTTCCGGAGGAACTGCCCAGTTGAGGGCAAGTCTCGATACTAGTATGTTAGTGAGGGAAGTGTCTCCATATATCAACTACCAATCCTGTAGCAGATGGCTATAAGGTACGCGTTGTCGGCGAACCGGACTTCGTCATACCCACCTCGTACGACTTGGATTTTGCTAACATGGTGGGTAGTGGCGTGAACACGGCTGCAACACGTGTCTGAGCAAGTCTACCCGCAGACTAGTGGGTTGAGCAATCTCCGGGCGATGCAGGCTGTCGGTTGTGAGATGAACGGATGGGATGTGGTCGTGGAATGATAGGACGCTAATGACCCAGTCGAGCGGGGGCCGGTTCCGCGGACAACAACGGCGCTTGAAATTATCCGCGGTGTGGCAATTGGTCATAGGAAAGTAGCATGCTTATGCGGGCCGCCACACCCTATTCCCCCCTCCCGTTCATTGTCCCAACTCTTTGCCGCTGATGGGGCTCTTGCCAAGTATTTCTAATTGTATGTAAGTATTATGGCCAAGTATGATCAGAGGTGATTGACGCGCCGAACTCCGTGGTAGGTATTAGTGTATGAGATCCGTGCCGATCAGATTGTATACTACGAATTGCAGTACCTAGGCACAGTCCTCAGGTACCACATCCCAATTTCTTCCCGTTAGACCCGCTCCTAAGCTCCGCACAATGACACCGGTTAAAGAGATGAAGAGAGAATACAGTCTTGCATGAGCGTTGTGGAACCACAGCTGCCACACGGCTCGGGGCTTGTTCAGTGCAGCGGCGTAGACGTCCCATGTTTTTCTGACCTATCCATTACCTTGTCGTTCGATAGACCCGTAACCGAGGCTTCCAGAATCTGTCAACACATCTTACCTGCATTCACAGCCTCAGTGTCTTTTTTCCTATCCTTCAAATGGGACCGAGGCTCAGGCGAACCCACGTGTTGCGGAGTTTAGAGACGCCCCTTTGGATCCTGCGAGGCAAACTCGGAATACAGAATCCATTTTGGTGATAGTGACAAGGTAGAAGGAGCACCAAAAAGTTTTCCATCCCATTTGGACCATTTGAGGATTGTGGGCGAATAAGACTTTGGTCTACAATATGCTCTCACTGACTCGAGGCCTGTTCGGTATCAACGGACCGAGATTCGGGGTCCAAAAACAACTGAATATTAGTGCTGTTGGTAGTCAGATTGCTTGATTGGACTAGATGAAGAAAGGTGTTGGTATGCACGCTGAAAGTATTTGAAGGCTCGTGCAGCCCTGCATTGCTAGGCAGCGCTTTTGTCGTCTCTCGCTTTCGCTTCTCTCACATCTTAATATAATCCAGTAATAGCCAACTCGGACTGGCATCGTGCCCGAAGTCATATTCAGAGCAGTTGGCGGTTTCAGTCGTTTACTCGTCTTAATCCTCCAAGGCCCCCCGAATACTTGAATACCCAGCTTTACCCGGTTCGAAACACGATCATGCGTACAACTGCACTCCTTTGGCTTGCACCCGCAGCGTTAGCTAGCGCCATTCCTGCGCTTGAGGAAACTTCTCCAGCTGCATCATTTGACAAAAGGCAGAATGTTTCTCCGAACATTTTGGGAGGAAAGGTCCTTCAGGCAGATGTGTACGCTGGAATTGCTGCCATCAACCAGCAGATCTTCCAGGCCACACAGAAAAACGATCAATTCAAGAAATGCAATCCCCTGAACATTGTTGTTCGCAAGGAATGGTATTTATCCCAGCAAAGTGACAGAAGACATACACTGACATAACCAGGGCTACTTTTACCAAGCCGGAGAAGACCAATTATATTCAGGCGGTCCAATGCATGTCCAAGCTACCCCCGAAGATGCCCAAGGCCGAATGTCCAGGCTGCCGGAACCGATACGACGACTTCGTAGCTGCGCATATCAAGCAGACGTTCTCGATCCACAACACTGGAAACTTTCTTCCGTGGCACCGCTACTTCACATGGGCATATGAGCAGACACTGCGAAAGGAATGTGGCTACAAGGGCTACCAGCCGTACTACAACTGGCCACGATGGGCTGACGACCCCATCAAAAGCCCTGCTTTCGACGGATCTGCCACGTCCTTGAGCGGCAATGGTGTGCTTGGATGCACCAATCAAACCTTTTATGGGATTCCAACGAATACAGAGCCGAAGATCAAGATACCCAAAGGCAGTGGTGGAGGCTGCGTAGCCTCTGGTCCTTTCAAAGACTGGACCGTCAACCTTGGACCTGTCTTCACGGACTCGCTCTGTGTACCTCCCAATCCGATCTCCAACTTCACGGATCCCAACATGGGGCTTGGATATAACCCCCGTTGTCTCAAGCGAGACATTTCATCGTGGACGTCCAGGCAGTGGACTAATGACGAGATGGTAGTGAAGCTGCTCAATAGCCCAGACATGAAGACTTTCTGGTCTGACATGCAAGGTGGTGATCCCGCTTTTGATAATAACTTCATGGGCGTGCACACCGCGGGGCACTTCCACTTGGGTGGTGATCCTGGATCTGATTTCTTCACTTCTCCCGGTACGTCTTGATGTTGTACGTCTTAGTGTTCGTACCTGCTAACGTAGAGAAAGGTGACCCCTGGTTCTTCTTGCACCACGGACAGATTGATCGTGTGTGGTGGACGTGGCAAAACATAAACCCGGCCGAGCGTACCAATGCCATCTATGGAACTACCGTTATTTCTGACCCCACCGCGCCTGCAACTAAGCTCACCGACAAGATGACGCTGGGCTATGCCTATTCCGAGGACATTACGGTTGCCGATGCCATGAGTACGATGGGAGGACCTTTCTGCTATACGTATATCTAGACCTGCCTGTTGGAGGCTTCTTTGCTATTCATGTGAATAATTTCTAGTAAATACTAGTGCATTGCTATTGGAGCACTACGTAGAGGAAATAAAAATGAACTTGGCAATTTGTAACGAATACGGTGTGACTCTTGACGCTGGGTCTGAACAGGCATATACCCAGTAGTTTTATATGAAGCGGCTCTTGACCACAACCACGGTAAATTTGCTTCACCACCATGCCTGCGGAAATAGAGAAGAGCGACAGTTGTGCATCGAGGCTAACAATCGTCTTGGTAGTGGGGCATCTGCAGGTGCTTGAGACGAAGTACCAGTACAGTGGTCGGGCACGTCTTGGCTCTATTGCGGAGGCGTTGACACTGTACTCCACCTACTCTAGTACAGTATACACATATATCAGAGCATCCAAAAAAGACGAAGCTTGGACAAAGGTACCTGGGGCAAAGCAAGCAGCGATTCGACAATGGCACGCAGCGCTAAGCAGTCACCATACCTGTGTAGCGTTCGGCTCTTGACGAAGAATGAATGGGTGGGGTTTTCCCCCCATCCAAAGGGCGCGGAGACCCTGCATTGCCAACGCATCACCGCTGAAGAAAAGGGATCCCCCAAAGAGCAATCATGTGCACCAATCCTTCTCTGATCACGCCCGTTCCTAAGAAGCGTCTGTAAGATTGCAGCCAACCCCCTCTACAACGCCGACGCCCGAACTACCCAAATTCATTGGACAGCCTGCAATCGTGCTCTGTTGCTGTTTGCGGGTTATTATTAGTTGGGCTGGCGATTCCGAGCAAAAAAAGCTTACTTACCTGGTTAATTTTACCCCACTAACATCGTACATTTGTCCCCGCCGCCGCCGCCGCCGCGCGCGCGACAATCGGGTTTACAGGGTCCCTTTTTTAGACCAGGGGGTTTGGTTTCGCGCTGGGAAAGAAAGAATTACAAGGCGTGTTGGGCATCATCGATATAGTCGGCACAACCATTTTGTTTTCTACCATCACAAAAGACCTCACAAGAAAGACTACAAGAGAGAGCCAAAAGAAAGACAAGAGCGTTCAACGTCATACTAAGAAAGCAAAGTCTCCAAAAAAGAGAGACAGACCATTACCCCCCCTCCCCCTCCCCCGCATATCACTCCCCTCCCCCCCTTCTCGCAGCCATGAACGTCGACCCTCTGACAGGCGCACCGCTGCCGTCCACCGCAATCCAGCGCATCCTCTACCTCGCGCCCAAAGTGCACATATACCAGATCCCACCGGCGACGTCGACAAAAGGGTACCAAGCCTCTACGTGGACGGCCAACAACAACCAGCTACAGATCTTCACCGCGCGATTACGCATCGTCGAGACCTCGATACCCAGCGCGTCCTCGGACGACCCAAGCGGCACCGATGGCGGCAACGGCGACGACAATGAAAAAGTAACGACGACAATCCTGCTCGAAGACCCCAAGAACGGGGATCTTTTTGCTGCAGCCCCTTACACCAGCGAGCGCACCGTCGAACAAGCACTGGACAGCAGTCGCTTCTTCGCCATCACCGTCGTCGGCGAGGGCCGCAAAGCCATCCTCGGCATGGGCTTCGAAGAACGCAGCGAAGCCTTTGATTTCTCCATCGCCCTGCAAGATGCCCGGCGCGTGCTAGGTTTCGAATCCAAATCCGCATCAGCACTCTCCTCGCGGTCGTCATCTAAAACCAGCGCTCCCGTCGCCGATGAGGCAAAACGCGATTTCAGCCTCAAGGCTGGCGAGACAATATCGATTAACCTGGGGGGACTCAAGGGCCGGCGGTCGAGGAGCCATGAGAGCGACAAGAGCGACGAGGGCAAGAAGAGCGATCAGGATGCGCTGTTTAGTATAAAACCGCCTCCAGGGAGCGGGCCTGGAGGCGCATTTTTGCCGCCGCCGCCGAGCGCGAAGAGTGTCAAGGAGGAGAGGAGGAGGAGTAGACAGACGTTTGATGCAGCGAGTTTGCCGCCGAAACAGACGGCGGAGGATCTGGGGTTTGATGATGGCGAGTTTGGAGAGTTTCAATGAAAGAAAGCGTATGTGTGCAAGTATCAATTGGGGCATGACCTTTTTCTTATTTTTGTACATTTAGCAAGGCGTTTTTTTATATTGTTGCATCTGTCTCACGTGTATCCTCGCATGGCAGGCGCGTTGAGGGATTCCAAACATCAAGAGTCAAGAAGTGGTTTCTGCATGTGTATGTGTCCATGTCGTTGGATGTGCGTATGTGAGAGTATGTGATAGGGGAAGAGGGGGGGGGGTGGGGGGTATCAGGTAAGTTTTCGGCTCCAAACAAACGCCTTGGAAAAAAGACACAGCCGAAATAGAAGGCGACAGTCACAAAATCTCCATCTTAACTCAAGACTCCGTGTAGCCCTGCGCCTCTTTATACAGCCTCTCGATATCCCGAATCAGGTCCTCGGGCTTATCACCATCTGGGCAGTCTTTAAACTTACCCCCATCAGCCACGCACCTCACCTTGTCGTCTAGCCTGACGGTGCAGCTCGTAGTCACGCCCACATCACGGCTATGCTGTGCGCTGTCCCTCAGCAGACCCATACCGTACGCACCGTTTTCCCTGCTCATGCATTCGTTCAGCACCTCGAAGTCGAGACCGTGTTCCAAGGCGCAGTCTTCGATGAGCGAGCGGGCGGGTATCTCGGGGTAGTCGGTGATGAGGCAGTTTGTGAAGCCTAGGTAGAGCTTGGGGTCGGGGTACTCGGATGCGGCACAGAGCATCACGATGTCGCCCAGGCACTCGGTTTGGCCGTGCATGCACAGCACACCGTCGTCTTCGGTCAGGCTGTCCGGGGTTTGTTAGCAACTGTCGTGTGCGTGGGTTTGTTGGTGGATTGCGGTGGTGGGCAAACTTACGTGCCAATCATGCTTAGACGGAAGTCGACTTTGTCAGACACGTTTGCCATGGCGGGCAGCACCAGTTTGTTCAGGCAGTCTCGCGCGTCGGGGCACTTGGACATGATGTGCACGTCCAGGGGCACTTTTGAGTCGGCGTCCAGGCTGTGGTGGTCATCGGGGCAGGTCCATGTCGATGCCAGCCAGAACAAGCTGAGGACGAGCATGGTGATGGCCATCTGCAGGCGGCTCTTGCTGCTGGAGCTGCGCGAAGCCACAGGCTCACCAGCCTCAGGGGCATTGGGGATGAGGGGCGTTTTCTCTTCCATTGTATATACAGGGCGCACGCGTCGATGTTGGGTTTGGTAGTTGGAGATGGGGTCCAGACAATCTAGATAGCGTGCTGAACCGGACTAGCGAGGCCGGGGTGGAGAGGGCGCAGCTTATGTGATGAGCGTAATCGACGGGCAGATGTACATACACATGTACACCGATGTATGGATGGATGCAGTCAAATAAGGAATCATGGAGTGATTGGCGCTTGGGGCCTCCCGTAGCGTGGTCAGCTAGTCGGCGTGTGTCCTGGCAACGTTATGTCAAGCACATTGACTATAGTAAAGTCACACATGGACAATCAACAGTTCCTGGAAATGGATCAATGATATGTACTCCCCCCCGTGCCAGCCGTGGATTGTCCAAACGCCCGTTCCACTATATGTATGCATGCAAATGTATGCCACCATCACATGCCATGCCGCGGGAGACACGACGGCACAACAATTACCCGTAAGTATCATGTGTGGCGTTAGTTTCTGTGAGCTGTGGACGGGCCTGGCATGACTGGACTGGACTGGATGGCCCCCCGACGGCCGGAGGGGTTACACGCATCCTGCATCGCAAACATCACCACGCCTATTCCTGGGTACACAATCCCCCCTGGCCGCCGCTCTTTTCTGCTTCTTACGCTTCCTCACAATGAACGACTCTTTTATCTGGTTTCCCTTCTGATACCCCACATTTAGACTTGCATACATACCCGTCTGCTTCACCCGCAAAAAACCCCCAAAAGGCCAAGGCCCCCCCCCAAATCGCCCTGCTATCTGCTTGGTCCATGCGCACAGTCTTGTACTACCAACCTCCTGTTCCCTGCGCCTATTAGCATTGAGCCAAAATGGCGTCAACTGATGCCGCCGCTCCCATTGACGCTTTTACCTCCCTCATCAATACTACTACTTTACTCGACTTGGCCCGCCGCTTCTCGGCAACCTACAGCCACCTCGCCAGGACCTCAACAGAGCATTTCCTCGCTACTCCCGTCACTGCTCTGCCTACTGGAAAGGAAAAGGGCAAATTCCTGAGCATTGATGTTGGCGGAACTAATCTAAGAGTTGGATTCGTGGAGCTGATTGGAGAGCCAGAGGCTTCTGCGGGGAGTGAGCGTAGCCGGAGCAGCACCATCGGGGACAATGTCTTTGCTCAGATCAACCGAAGTCATGACAAAAACTGGCCAATTGGAGATCACCTGAAAATGGACCAAGCCGAAGACCTCTTTGCCTGGATAGGTGACTGCATCGCCGAGGTAGTAAAGGGCGCTCTTGACAAACAGGAGAGCAGTGGCAGTCAAGTCAGCACGCCCCTAGGCGATGAGATTCTGCTTGGTATCACCTTTAGCTTTCCAATGGCGTAAGTCGAGTCGACCGTATACTACCGTGGTGCTGTGCTAACATTCTTGTTAGCCAGACTCGTCTATCAGAGGCAACTCTGCTGCCAATGGGCAAGGGATTCGCTATCACATCTGACTTGAACTTGGGCAAGATGCTTCTTGCAGGATACGCCCGACACTGCGATGGTTCCCAGCAAAACAAGCCGCCATTACCAAGGATACGTGTTGCAGCCATCACAAACGACACAGTAGCCACGTTTGCGTCACTCGCCTACGCAGTCAAGGCTTCACCAAACAGTCGCGTAGCAATGGGTCTGATTGTCGGCACTGGAACTAACGCAACAGTACCAATGAAGCTGGATCGTCTACACCCTGCAAAGAAGAGTGCCTTGGCCAACCCTGATGCTGTCGAGACTGTAGTCATCAACACTGAATGGACAATCCGCGGCACTGACAAGCCTCTGATCGATCTCAACATCAAAACTTCCTGGGACATGACACTCGATGCAAACAGCGACGCACCAGGTTTTCAGCCATTCGAGTACATGACATCAGGGCGCTACCTCGGCGAAATCGTACGCCTGATATTCATCGACGTAGTCTCCAAAGACACAAGCGTGCAAATCCCACCGTCCCTCCAAACCAAAAACACCCTCCCCACCAGATTCCTCTCAGAAATCATTGCGCGAAAGGGCGGCCGCATCGTACAGCAAGAACTAGAAAGCAGATACCCCGATGCAAGTCCATCCGACGACCCCTTCTGGACCGTTGACAGGGTAGAAATGATCCGTGACATCGCCGAAGCAGTCCAACAACGCTCCTCCGCTCTCGTCGCCGCCGCATGCGTTGGGCTTCTGAATTGTGTCAGCGAAGTATCTCTCGACGGCGCAAAAGCACCCAGCAACGGTACACACAATAGTACCAAGAGCAAGCGCGAGATTGAAGAGCTGGTCATTGCCTATGCGGGCGGTACCATCTCACAGTATCCAAAGTGGCTGCAGACGTGTCAGCAATGGATCGATATTCTGGTTGAGGAGGGTTCAGCGGAGAATTCGAGCAAGCAGGTTACGCTCAAGGAAGCGAAAGATGGGGGTATTATCGGGGCGGGTGTGTTGGCTGCTATGACGGATGATATGGCATGAAAGATGTGTTTGTGTGTGTGTTGAGCGGAAATAGAGATGTGTATTCACCTTAACAATAATAACGTAGTTTACAAGCGAGTGAGCCATACAAGCGAGTGAGCCACCCCACCAACTTTACGCACCTCTCTTGTTACAATATACAATGACTCCACCAAATCTATCCCAACACGTCCCTCGTGAGGCTGACATATACCTTGCACTATCAGCTCTTAAAAAAAGTCAAGTTCAAACTGAAAGGCGTGCTGCAGCTACGTTTAATGTTTCTCGCGCTACTCTCCACCGCCGACGCGCTGGCAAGCCTGCCCGACGCGATTGCCAGCCCAACTCAAAGAAGCTTACCAAGCTAGAAGAGGAGGTGATTATTGGCCATATACTTGATCTTGATCTACGTGGATTCTCGCCTACCTACGCAGCTGTGCGCGATATGGCTGATAGACTCCTGGCTGCGCGCGGCGCTGGCCAGGTCGGCGTCCACTGGCCGCGTAACTTTGTCAAGCGTACAGACAGTCTTATAACGCGTTTTAGTCGAGTGTACGATAGGCAGAGAGCTCTGTGTGAAGATCCAGTCCTAATTAAGAGCTGGTTTGAGCTTGTAGAGCAGACAAAGGCTAAGTACGGCATCTGCGACGAGGACGTCTACAACTTCGACGAAGCTGGCTTTATGATGGGCAAGATTACGACTCAACTTGTCGTTACAGCGTCAGAGAGGAGAGGCCGGCCAAAGGCAGTTGAGCCAGGTAATCGTGAGTGGGTGACGCTGATCGCAGCGATCAACGCAGCTGGCTGGTCAGTCCCACCGTTCCTTGTATTCGCTGGCAAGTACCACCTATCTGCTTGGTATGAGGAGGCAGAGATCCCACGCGACTGGGCGATCGCAGTCAGCGACAATGGCTGGACGAATAACGAGCTAGGCGTCGCATGGATAAAGCACTTTAATGCCCACACGAAGACTCGCGTTATTGGTACACGTCGCCTGCTTATTCTTGACGGCCATGAGAGCCACTAGTCTCTAGAGTTTCAAGAGTTCTGCAAGGAGAACAATATATATACGCTCTATATGCCGCCTCACTCATCTCATCTACTCCAGCCTCTTGACGTTGGCTGCTTCTCGCCGTTAAAGCGCGCGTACAGCCGCGAGGTGGAGAGCCTGATCCGCCATCACATTAACCACATCACCAAGCTCGAGTTTCTGCCAGCGTTCAAGGTAGCGTTCGATCGATCCTTCACGCCATCCAATATCTGCTCTGCCTTCCGCGGCGCAGGCCTTGTTCCTCTCCAGCTAGATGCTGTTCTATCAAGACTTGATATAAAGCTCCGTACGCCTACTCCACCAGCTGCTCTAGAGGCTCTCTGGCAGGCTCGCACGCCTAGTAACACACGCGAGCTTGAAGCTCAATCAACATTAATACGTGATCGCGTTCAGCGGCATCAAGGCTCATCGCCAGCTTCAATTATTACAGCAATTAATCAGCTTAAGAAGGGGGCTGAGGTAATGATGCTCTCGGCTGAGCTAATGCGCGATCGGATAGCCAGCCTTGAGAAGGCGAACGAAGCCGCAACAAAGCGTAGGCAGCGTAAGAAGAAGCGGATACAGAAGCAAGGAGTGCTAACAAAGGGAGCTGGAGAGGATCTACTCGCTCAGCGCGAGGCTGATCAGCAGATTGCTCATGAAGAGCGTCAAGAAGGAGAGCGATTAGGTGTCAGCCGCCAGGCTCTTGCGCGCTGTAGTAGGTGTAAAGAGACTGGCCATAATGCGCGTACGTGTAAGAAAGATACTCTAGGTACTACTTAATTAATTATATTAATATATAGCAAAATAATTATATTATGGTGGAGCTATACGCCTACAGAGGTGCGCAAAGTTGGTGGGGTGGCTCACTCGCTTGTATGGCTCACTCGCTTGTAAACTACGTTAGTATTATTATTCATTTGTTCATTCACATTTTGATTAACTATTATTATTATTATTATTATTATTATTATTGTTATTATTGTTATTATTGTTATTATTGTTATTATTGTTATTATTGTTATTATTGTTATTGTTGTTATTATTGTTATTATTTTCCAAAGCGGACATGGGAATCATCGTACTAAACATGGAGAGGTGTAAAACTATCGAAAGATAGACAATGGATTTGTGCATAACAAACTAGATAACGCTACAAAACTCCCATACTATCTCTATTATCCCCACGTGCGAAAAGAAAAGTTTCTAAAAGCGAACGCACTATCGACTAAACAAACTTCCCTCCCCGTTCACCTAACAGGCAACTGATTCTGCCACTCAGGATCCACCTTACTCTGCTTAAAAAAGCTCTTACCCCTCAGCCACTGTCGATACGCCTTATACCGCTTCTTGCCCGTATCCTCATCCTCGACGTCCAGCGGGTTCTCCCTAACACGCAGAAACTCTTCAAACTCCTCAATATCCTCTTCGGGCGTCTGGAACTTGCTTCCGGACACCAGTGGATAATGATGATGGTGATGTTGGTGATGCAAAGGTGTGGGAGGAACATCGTTGTACACGTGGGGATAATGATTATATGATTGGGGGTAGGAATATGAAGGGGCGTGGGAAAAGGGGGTGCTGACGGATTGCGAGGTCATGGGCCGCGCGTGGTGCGAGGTGAAGGAGCGGACGGATGCAGCGTCGGTGTCTAGTCGGGCTTGCTCTGACAGTGTGATCTGGATGCCGTCTTCGTCAAAGTCTTTGGGGGGCGTGGCGTTGGATTCGGTGACGGAAAGGTAGTCGTAGTATTCCATTGCGATGGGGTCATCGGCGGTGGGGATCTCGCTGCTGACGACTAGGGGGAGGTTGAGTGGGTGTTCAATGTAGCGCGAGTATTCGTCTTCTTCACTCGGGGCAACCGAGGGATTCATGCTGTTTTCGTAGAATTGGCGCAGGGTCCATTGGTGGACCAGGGCTTTGTCGGCTGGCTTGAAGCCGGGCTTGAGAGTCGACGAGAGGCCTGTGGATGTGGAAGTTGAGTTGTTCATGGATTGGTAGGCTGATGATGTCGAAGCAGACATGCGTGTCTCGAAGTGAGGGTCTCGAAGAATAGATTGTCGGACCCGCTGATCTGGATAGGGTATATTATGATGTAAGTTCCTTCCACGAGGCGTAGGGAAGCGATCGGGTCTGGATTCAGTCTCACTTGATGGGTCGATAATAGTGACCCCCTTCCGGGGCAGCTTCTTTTCGTCTCTTCCTCCTGCATCAAGCTCTTGCTGCTTTTTTCGAGGAACAAATGGAGACATATTCTCCTTTCGAGACGGGTACGTCCCATCGCGTCCGGGCCGTGGCTTAGCCAGTCGAAAAGCAAATATCTTGAGGTAAGAAGATATGGCCAATGGCCGGTAGTATTCGAGCCAATAGTCGTCGCGGAAGCTGATAAAGTCAAAAGCAGTCTCGTGAGTCGGCCGTGCTGGCATGATTGAGGGTGGCAATGCACGCTGTTGAAGATGAGAAAGTGTATACCAGTTGATATAGTCTCGCCGGTTTCGGTCCAGCACGGTTTGCGGGCTTTGGTGATGAAGGTAGTAATCAGTCGAAAGATCCCAAAGCATTGGTTGACCATGCGAATACGTGTAGTATCCGAGGAACAAATTATAAGCTTCTTGTCGCTGCGAATCGAGAAACGAATTGTGATAGTATCGCTTGAAGCTTTCCACCATGTCGCGCGAGCTGCTTTGCCACTGGTTGATTTTTCGGTACGTAGCCATTGTATTGACGAGATGTGATCCGCCGTACTGAATTGCGATAGTGTCGCCGTGGCCATGGAACATTTGCGTGAATAGCTCGACGCAATCGGAATCGTACTCCACAGTGTTTCCAGAAATGACGCCCAGCGCCTGTAGCTGACGGCCCAGGGCTCGCTTTCCGATGACGAACTGCGCTGCATTTGTTCGATCCAAACAGTCGATACAGTTAGTTCGAGCGACACCATTCTGCACCTGCGGCTCATCAAACTCATTGTCGCCATTCCGGAAGAATCCTGTTTTACGCATCACTTTCTCAGCAAGGTTCTCAAGAGTGCCTATAACATCCTGTCCTCTCGTTTTCGCTGCTCTGGACATGTCGAACGCCTCATACAGAATCTTCTTATCTTTAGGTAGAGACTGGTTCAGGTAGTCAACAGCGTGCTTGTATTCATGAAGCAACTTGGACTCTCTTGGCGTTCGTTCTCGAGCCTTGATCAAATTGAGAACATAGATAGGCGCTCCATATCTTTCGAAGAGGTTGTCAAAATGCAAAGCTGCAGCGCTGTAGAAGGGGTCGACAAGACTAAGATCAATGTCAGGCTTGGGCGTGACACCGGTGTTGTCTTGGGTCCAATACAGTGGTATGCTACCTCGATGTTGCACATAGGATGTATAGCTAGGATTGGCATACAGCCTTGGCCCGGGTGCATGGAAGGACGTTGTCGTTTGTTCGGACACAATCTGCTCAGTCTCGACATCATTTGCGACATAACCTAGATCGTTCGTGCCGCGCTTGAGAAATCGAGCACCAGCAAAGAACCTGGACCTTCTCGCAATGATAGTAAGATATACCCGTCGACCAAACACATCTAGGGAAGACTGATCGACGTAACCGTGTATGATTGGATGACACCAATCGTACATGTTCTTCAGGGCATCGCGTGCAGGGTTGAGGAGATGGTGGTTCCAAACAAACATGTCCTGGTAGTCGCGATCCAGGTTTGAGATGCCTTGACTCAACGCAGTGCGTTGTTGGATAATGTTTTGCTGCAAACTCCTTGTCACGTTGTAAGAATACGAAAAATAAAACGATCGCGTAAGGTCCATGTTGTTGAGAATCGACAAAAACCTCGCCTCTTCTGGATTCCTGTCCTTTTGGTATTTCGACGTTGACCCCGTCGTCAGAGGGATCATCTCTGTACCGTCGATCTGATAGACGTAGTGGCCACCTAGCATAGCTACTTGAGATCTCTTAGATATCAAAAGCATATAGTAGGCCTCGGTGAAGCGGATGAATCCCAGCAACCCCCACGTGCTGCATTTCAGCTTCATACCTCCCGTGGCTTTATTGCCGTCTGCTATCGTGTCCAGGAGCTGGTGCATCTCTCGCCGGCTATACACTATATCATCTTCGAAGATATTCAAGTGTCCCGGCGCAGCTGTTCGATC